TGAATATTCCCCGGAACAACAAATCTTTATAAAAAATCCATTCGCATCCCGTCAGAAATTAGCTCCTCGATACACACACGACACAGTTATGGCAAACCTCCCAATTCACATTTATACAAAGAAAAAACGAGGCCCCGTAGCAAAAACTCGATTGAAGAGAATACCTAAAACGAACCAATTGTTACAGGACTCTCCTGGTACTTCATCTCCTTCTGGGACCAGCTCTAATGCAGGAGATAAGACTTGAAAGTCTTAGCGATGGACCTGGTATATTACCCTTCAAATTAGGCCCCGCTCGAATCCTATCCCACTACCATGCATTTCTGCAATATGTAAATCTCCAGGAATTAGGAGATAAAGTAAATTCAGTTAAAACACAGTTAATCAGTATTAGCCCTAACCTTAACAACATAACCAATTCGTTATTTCAGCCTCATATTGATTATCTTAAAAATAAGCTTGAAAGTGTCACCATACAGTTGAGTAGCTTTAAAACGAACCGTGAGAAAAGAGGACTTGTAGATGGTCTCGGTTCCATCATAAAAAGTATAACTGGTAACCTTGATTATACAGATGCAGATCATTTTAATCGTGCTATAAAATCCATCCACGAAGACGAAAATAAAATCGTTACGGAATTTAATAATCATGTAAGCCTAACTAAAGATTTATCAAATCAATACTCCAGAATAATAGATAGCATTGTAGATAATCAAAATAAATTAGAAATACTAATAGGTAAAATAAATCAATCCGAGGCTACCAGAGACTATGACCTAATTAAATATGCCCATTTTGGACAAGTACTAATGATCCTTAGTGATAACGTTGATTCCATTTCACAGGAATTAATTAAGTTACAGAACAACTTAGCATTTATAAGAGCTAACACTATGCACCACTCTATAGTTAATTTAAAATCTATCCGAATAATGATTAACAGAGCAACCGAACTTTATGGAAATAAAAAGGTAGGAGATTTAGATATTAGGGAATATTATGATATTATTAGATTAGGTTCATATTATGTAGGAAATGAAATAGTAATAGTATTTAAGTTCCCAATTCTATTACCCCATATATATGATATGTATAAGTTATCTATTGTTCCTAACAAGAGACACGAAATCCTCACACCACCCTTTCCATTCCTAGCCATTTATCAGAAAGATTTTCAGTACATAGAGGCAGAATGCCCGAAGACCAGTAAATGGTACATCTGTAAAGAAAAGCGGAGCCTGAGAGGTCAAACATCCCCTGATTGCATCCATCACCTCATCACTAAACAACAGACGAATGCAGTATGTAACCCGTATACAGTCACCCTAGATAAACCAGCTTACGAAGAACTGGACGACAAGCATTACACCATCACTTTCCCCACACCAACGAAAGTACATCTATCCTGTGGACAAGATCTCTACAAAATACTTCAAGGTAGTTATCTCGTTATTGTCCCTCTGAAATGCTACATAGAAACGCCACTATTCTCGATCTCAAATACTAAAGATCGATTGAAGGGACAAGCCTTAAAGATAATGGACATACCTGAGGAACACACCAGCATCCCATCTTCTGCATCGGCATATAAACTAAATTCAATAAACCTCCAACATCTTCATGCAACGAACACTAAAATATCCCAGCAATCGCCATTGAATTTAAGAAGAAACGATGACTACAGTCTATATCATACTACAATACCATTTTACGCATTAATAATAAGTGCAGGTGCACTGATTCTATGCATACTCTATAGAAGATACAAGCCGAAGCTAACTGGAGGTACGCAAAGGAACTCAGAAGAGGACCATCCTAAATCATTAAGGGTATACGCTGTTCCAGACACTGAGAAGATTGATCCCGATCAACTCCCAGCTCAATTCACGACCAAGGTCTTCCATAGTCGCTGTTCTTCGGGGGGAGGTGTTACGCAGCCCTAATCCAGGCAATCTGCTGCGTTGCATCGGCTTACGACGATCACGAGGCGCCGTGTCAGCATAACGTGTCTACTGTCTTATATTACCTGGATCTAATATTTTACCGTGTGAATCCATTCTACATTCAAACATCGAATTAGAGTCACCTCACTTAGTTATAAGAATTAATTGTAATAATTACTTTAAATTAAATATATATTAAATAAAGATTGCTTTTTTTTGCAACCTCTGGCTGGAGCCCACATAATTATATAAAAAATAATTTTTGTTTATTCGTATTTTATGCGTTGTCATACCGTTCATCAGATTGCACTAAAATTTTGTCAAATTATTGCTTGTACCACGCGAAGGTTATAATAGGCATAGTACAATTAAATTATAGTAGATGGCGCACGTGTCGTACCGACATATTTATTTGAAAGTCATTTAATTTCAATGAATGTATTGTTATTTCTAATTAAACAATATAACTGTTCCAAATTTGAAACGATATTTCAACAAATATTTTTTCTGCGGCAGCAACGCGCCAGGTACCAGCCAGTATTAACTAAAAATTATTACGAGTATATGCTATTCTATTCTATCACCTTCTCAGGTCACTATGATATCACAAGTACACGTCACCTGATTACACAGCTGATATGATAGCTCGTTAGATCGTTAAGTAATTGCTTAACATTTAGCTGTGACTGCGAGGTAATGGGTTCGTATCCCGCTCGAAATAATTAACACTGAACAAAATATACGTTTGTATGGGCTACAAATAATTGTTCTAGATCTGGATGTTTGTCCATGTGCAAAAATAAAGTATGTAGAACTCCTTCACGATACAGGAGAAAGCCTAGTGTGAGACTAGCGTTTTAAAAACATATTCAGCCGCCAGTCCTACGTTCGGTCGTAGCCAACGTAGATGTGTAAACGAATTGTTGTTACTTTCGGGTTTTGTGTTTTATCTTCTCGTGTCTCCGAGATTAGGACGTGGGAATTACTTCATTTATTTATTCATTGAATTCCATCAAAAGTGAAAATTATTACGTAGTAGAGCCATGCTGCAGCTATATTAGTAGTAGCACGAATGGGTCGGCTCGACCGGGGAAGGACCACGCTCTCACAAAATGCCAGCGTAAAATTACAGCTTAACGCTGCTGTGTTTCATATGGTGAGTGTAGAGAACCGGAGACCCTTTTTACTGGAAACGAGGCATTCTATCTTAGTCCACACGGGTGACAACGCATCTGCATTTTGATTTGTAATAGAGGATAGATGTAGATGTCTATGGGCCGCAGCAACCACTTACCATCAGGTGGACTGTGTGCTCGTTTGTCACCCTTATCCTATAAAAAAGATTCACTACCGAACATAGATCTCCCGCATAGATTGCTCTGTCATAGTTAACACGATTTTCAGGTGGGTTGGCAACACCAGTTTTTTTATTTTTGAGTTGTTATTAATGTAAGTGAATGATGTGGTCCACAGACATCTACATGTATCCCAAATGCTTTATCACCCCTGAGGACTATAATGGAAGGCCTCGTTTCCAGTAAAAAGGATCTCCGGTTCTCTAAATTAACCATAAGAAATACATCAGCATTAAACTGCTATTTCCCGCCAGGATTCTGTGAGTACGTGGTCTTTCCCCGGTCGAGCCGATCCATTCGTGCTAAAACCATAATATACCTGCATCATGGAACTACCAAGTATAAATAATTACCCTCTGTCACTTCTTACGATATCCACGAGATGACATGGGATAATGGATTCTTTTTTTAAAGAAGAGGGGGCAAACGAGCGTGCGGCTCACTTGATGGTAAGTGACTACCGCCGCCCATGAACAACTGCAACACCAGGGTAATTGCAGATGCGTTGCCGACCTTTTAGAAAGGAGTAAGCTCTATTCTTGAAATTCCCTAAGTCGTATCAGTCAGGCAAAATCACCAGCCGGTAAACAATTCCACAAAGAGGTCGTACGAGGGAGAAAAATCCTAGTAAAATGGACAGTGGTGGACCGCCAAGCATCCAAATGTTGTGGATGGTATCGCGACAAAACTCTTACTGAATCAGATTGTTAAAAGTACTTACTGACTCTCGAGGAAGTTAGTTTAATGCACACAACTGTTTATAATCACGGTTAAAAACAAACTAACAGTTAAACTTGGCATCGGGTTAATTGACCGCATTTCTTTTAAACCTATCTAGTGCGGCGGTTACGTAAATGTTTTGGTAATCTACGGATAAAGCGCCATCTAGTAGTTGCTTCTTTTTTCGGTTTTTAAAATTCCACTACTCCATATCACGTGGGTGTCGTAAGAGATCACAGAGGGAAAACCAATCAGGAGATGGGCAGCAGCGTGCTTCTAATAACGACTAAAAAACTCCAGTAGCCGAACCTATGAAGCAATCTATAGGGGAAGCCTAGGTTCAGAAGTGTAAGGCTGTAATGGATGGATGTATAGAAGATAATCTACCAGGAGCATAAAAACCGCTGAGAAGTGAAATTATTAAATCAACAGTAACATTATAACTATGACAAAATCCCCCTATGGGGCAATCTATGGGGGAGACAATATGTACAGCAGTGGAATTTATTAGGCTATAATGGATAGATGTATAGAAGATAATCTACCAGGAGCACATGAGCCACTGAGAGGCCACCTACCGTATTCAATTGTGAATCAAAACCATTCAGGGAGCTATCCAAACAAATGAAAAATGTCATCAAATTCAGTCGAGCCATTTTCGACTTTTGGCGAGACTAACTGACATATTTTTATATGTATATCTTTATTACCTATTTCAAATAGCGTTGCCTGCACTGATGTTTTCCGGTTTAAAGGGTGTAGAGCTATAGAAATCCAGTATATATACAGGCATTCCATCTTAAAAGAAGGTGTCCGTGAGCTGCAGAAGACACGTACAATCAGGTGGGGTAAGTTCGTTTGTCAGTTCAGTTTAATAAAAAAAAAAATACGTGAAATTTATATTTAAAAAAAATGTTACGAAAACTAGATGGTTAAGCAAACAGTTGCGTAGACATTGTGATTCAAAGTTTTGCCAATGAAAATGCGCTGGATTTTACTTTATGTTTGTGTGCCTCTTCTGTGCTGTTCTGCCGTGAACAACATGAAATCTCTGACGGAATCTATGGGGCAAGAAGTCATTGAAATGGATTCTCCAAAAGGTTTGTTGTGATACAGTTTTTTTTAACCATTATAAGTCATTGTTAGGCTACTCCTCACCGTTACATCCTATTTAAGCCTACTGCTGACCATAGGCCTCCCCCATAGATTACCTCATATTTAGATTACACAGGATTTTGTCATAGTTGTAATGTTACTGTTGATTTAATAATTTTACCTCTCAGTGGGTGATGTGCTCCTGGTAGATTATCTTCTACACATCCATCCATTACAGTCTAGTCCACTGCTGAACATAGGCCTCCCCACATAGGGGGATTTTGTCATAGTTGTAATATTACTGTTGATTTAATAATTTTACCTCTCAGTGGGTGATGTGCTCCTGGTAGATTATCTTCTACACATCCATCCATTACAGTCTAGTCCACTGCTGAACATAGGCCTCCCCACATAGGGGGATTTTGTCATAGTTGTAATGTTACTGTTGATTTAATAATTTTACCTCTCAGTGGGTGATGTGCTCCTGGTAGATTATCTTCTACACATCCATCCATTACAGTCTAGTCCACTGCTGAACATAGGCCTCCCCACATAGGGGGATTTTGTCATAGTTGTAATGTTACTGTTGATTTAATAATTTTACCTCTCAGTGGGTGATGTGCTCCTGGTAGATTATCTTCTACACATCCATCCATTACAGTCTAGTCCACTGCTGAACATAGGCCTCCCCACATAGGGGGATTTTGTCATAGTTGTAATGTTACTGTTGATTTAATAATTTTACCTCTCAGTGGGTGATGTGCTTCTGGTAGATTATCTTGTATACATCCATCCATTACAGCCTATTAAAGCCCACTGCTGCACGCACATAAGCCTCCCCCATAGATTGCCTCTTAGGGGGCATATGTGCCATAGTTACCACGCTTGGCAAGCGGATTGACAATCGAAGTTTTTTATTTTAGTCGTTGTTAAGAAGACGCTGCTGCCCATCTCTTACTTTGTTTCCACCTGTCGCTTCTTACGACATCTACGGGATGATATGGGGTAGTGGACATTCTTGCACTTATAACTTCAAACAAATAAGTCTACAGATGCGTTGTCACCTCGGAGGACCAAGATGGTGTTCTTCACTGCCTATTATTATATTGCCTCTCTTTACTAGTCAGACTGGAACACAGTCGTGAAGGTACTGCTACTTGGTGACAGAAATAAGTGTGGTATCTAGGGTAGGCAGAAAAGGGATCTTACCACCTAGTGGTAGCAGATGTTTGAGGTTTGAGCTTTGTTGCAGTCTATGCTTAGCTTGTGGTCAATTTTGATATGATCGATGGAAACCCAACTTTAATTTTTTTTAGATAAGGATAACAAACGAGCACACAGTCAACCTGACGGTAAGTGGTCGCTGTGGCCCATAGACATTTACATCTATCCTCGATTACGAATCAAAATGCAGATGCGTTGTCACCCGTGAGAACTAAGATGGAATGCCTCGTTTTCAGTCCCCGGTTCTCTACAATCACCGTACGAAACACAGCCGCGTCACGATGCTATTTTACGTTGGTATTCTGTGAGAGCGTGGTCCTTTCCCGGTCGAGCCGACCCATTCGAGCTGCAACTATACAATTAAAAGAGAGGAGATAGTTGGTTACTACCATCGGCTTAGGATTCAGTTCCAGTGGCTAATCAAATCAAATCCGAAGTATACCACTGCCTTTAAAATACTATAACTCATTTACGCAAATCTGAAAACTTAAAAAATGAAAGTAGCATCGTCATCAGGAAATCCAAAACCTCAGTTCCCCTGTGACCAAGGCTACATAGCACTAGAAAAGTCAGAGTTATTATGTTGAAATTATACACGATGAACCGTGTAAATGACCGTGTAGTAGCAAATGCAAAAATATCCACTGCCCCATATTACACTATGCAACACCCATGTTACCAATAGGACACAAAAACCTAGAGGTTTTTATGGACTGCATAGAATAGAATAGAATAATTTTGTTCAATATTTATCATTACATAATACTTCCTGCATGTAGGAAGTATTATGTAATGATTCCTTGTATTGTAATGATGATGATGACATAATACTTATTGAAATTCATTTTATGATTTACCACTGGTTCGTAAAAACCTTTGTCCTGGAAAGAACCAGCAGGAAAGTCGGCAGGATAATTATTTAGACACCATAGTAGCTATCACCTCATCCCCAGGGCTTATTTTTCATGTATTCCCTAATATTATTATAACAATTTCATATTACAGTTTTTGTTTAGTGCACTTTTAAAACTTGTTTATTGACTAACTTTGATCTGGGATTTTGTTGTAAAAGAGTATACATTTCCACATAAATAAATTACAAATTAAGTGGGGTCTAGTAACTGGCATAACATAAAGTATTGTTATTTGTTCCCAGTACTCAAAGCATGAACATGTTTAAACGTGGTAGAGCCATGCTGCAGCTATATTAGTAGTATAGTTGTAGCACGAATGTGTTAGCTCGACCGGGGAAGGAGCACGCTCTCACAGAATTCTAGGGTAAAATGGCAGCTTGACACTGCTGTGTTTCGTATGGTAGTTGTAGAGAACCGGAGACTCTTTTTACTGGAAAAGAGGCATTCCATCTTAGTCCTCACGGGTGACAACGCATCTGCATTTTGATTCGCAAACGAGGATAGATGTAGATGTCTATGGACCACAGCAATCACTTACCATCAGGTGGACTAGATGCTCGTTTGTCACCGTATCCTATAAAAAATAATCTCTATTCTTATCAGCTAATATAACTGAAACTAACAAACTAACAGTCTATGTCTGTAGCAGATAGACTGTTAGTTTGTTTATCACTTCAGTTGTATAAAAAACACTATCATCTCAAAGCCACTTCTCTGCTACATGATTTTTACAACATGATCTTAATGATTTTTTTAGAACTGCCACCATATATAGAAGAAGAACCATCAGCAGAGAGAGACATCGACATCAAACCCATCACTACGCTTCTGCCCGCTACCAAGATCAATCTTAAAAAGAGTTCCACGGTATGTGAGCTTCAATCGCTGTATAAAGCAAAAGTAATGCCGTGTCGAACGTACAGTCTACCAGATGGTAAGTAAATGCAGTAGCCCATAGACATCTAGATCTATCTTCAATTAAGAATCAAAATACAGGATGCGTTGTCACCATTGAGGACAAAGATGGAATGTCTTATTTTTATCACACCATTTGTACGTGGTAGAGCCATGCTGCAGCTATATTAATACTATAGTTGTAGCACGAATGGATCGGCTCGACCGGGGATGGACTACGCTCTTACAGAATACCAGCGTAAAATAGCACGTTAACACTGCTGTGTTTCGTATGGTGAGTGTAGAGAACCGGCGACCCTTTTTACTGGAAAAGAAGCATTCCATCTTAGACCTCACGGGTGATAACGCATCTGCATTTTGATTCTTTACTGAGGATAGATGTGGATGTCTATGGGTCACAGCAACCACTTACCATCAGGTGGACTGTGTGCTCGTTTGTCACCCTATCCTATAAAAAAAAAACACCAATTTGTTTTTGTTTTACTTATTATAAGCCAGTGCTTGATCACAATCCCACCTGGTGGTAAGTGCTGATGACGCCTTAGGTCGTAAATCGCACTGCCTTAGCAGAACAAAAGCCTATTCACTCTTGCCTTAGTGTCCGGATTGTATTCGGATGGATAAACAGACATCGGTAAATAATTTTACTGTTTTGTACCGTGGATGGTGTATAAGTCACTAAAGGAAATACAGACTAGACTATAGGAAACGCGAAAAATAATCTCATATATTCACAAGATGGTGGAACATAATGAACGTGGTAAAACAACGCTTCATCTATATAGGGTTATTTTTGAAACAGTAGCCAAATTTTAAACTTAAGTTCAAATATATAAACAATGATATACAATTATTGCAGTTTATGAAAATACGAGCAAATAAGGCTTCCACTTTTATTTGAAATTAATTTTTTTTATAGGAGAGGGGGCAAACGAACATGCGGCTCACCTGATGGTAAGTGACTACCGCCGCCCATGAACAACTGCAACACCAGGGAGGGAATCGCAGATGCGTTGCCGGCCTTTTAAAAAGGAGTACGCTCTTTTCTTGAAGGTCCCTAAGTCGTATCGGTCCGGAAAAATCGCTGATGGTAATCGATTCCACAAGGAAGTCGTGCGAGGAAGAAAACATCTTCTAAATCGCATCGCACAGTGGTGGACCGCCAATCATCCAGATGGTGTGGATGGTATCGGGAGTTCTGCCGCGATGTGCGTTCGTGAAATTTGGCGGCTAGGATTAATCCGAACAATTCCTCAGAGCACTCCGCATGGTAGATGCGAAAGAAAATGCAAAGGGATGCAACATCTCTTCGCAGTGCCAATGCCCACTTATTCAATTATCCCAAATTGAATGTGATTTATGGGCAGCAACGCTTTTGCCTATCGCTCGACCCTTACGAATGTGTGCGTGCGCAGTAAAATCAGTTAAATGTACAGAATATTTGAGGTTTTTTTTAAAATTAATTTTTCTTCACCATTTGCCTATATTACTTATTGTGAACCTACTCTGCAACAGCCGGTTATTGCAAAATAACCCTGTATTATGGTTGTAGCACAATATAATGCTGCTGTGTTTCGTACGGTGAGTGTAGAGAACCGGAGAGCCTTTTTACTGGAAACGAGGCAATGGAATGCCACAGGCTCAGGGATAACAATGCATCTGCATTTTGATGTGCAAACGAGGATAGATGTGGATACCTATGGGCCACAGCAACTACTTACCGCCAGATGGACCGTGTGCTCGCTTGTCACCCTATCCTATAAAAAAAAACTTACTAGAACGTTATTGTTGGACCGAAGTTCCTTATCGGACGGTACGAATTTGGCAGATGGGGGCTAGGCGAGAAAAAGTGTAAGGTTTTTGCCATCACGACCCCTTCTAACGTAGTGTAGACGGCCTTGGAAGGAACTTTAAAGGGCTTTCGGCTATAAGGTAGCGAGATGGAATAATATCCATCTCTCTCGCACTTTTTCTTATCTTACCATGAAAGAAATTTTATTTTAAATGACGCTTCATTTTAATAGACGCTAGTAGTTCATTTGTTTGTATTTGTTAATCAATGATATCATACGTTTATCAATAATAATATACTACAAAAGGAACTTCGTTCCAACCGAGTGTTCCGCGACACTCACGCATGTTTTTTTTTTACTTCCACTACTGCTTTCAAAATTACCACTTTCTTAAGAAGAACCAGCAATAAACCCGCCAGGGATTTTTTTGAAAATAACCTAAAATAACTTGTACATTAATGAAAAAAAAAAAACATTTTAAACATTAATATGTAAATAAAAACTGTCTGGCAGTGCTCACTTCATTCCTATTCTTTTATAGAATAAGTGTGATAAACGAGCAGGCAGTCCACCTAATGGGAAGCGGACGGCTGACCGCGGTCGGCCACCGCAGAGTCTACATCACCTGAGATGCCTCGTGTAGAGGCGAAACATGTGTCGTATTGTAGTCAGTGGTGTGTCTTTCCTGTGTCAGTGTAGTGCAATTGAGGGAAGGCGGGAGGTGCTCTTCAAACTAGGTAAGACACATCATTTTATTTTATCGAGCGGATGTACGCGAAGTAATTTTTTACCAACTTTAACAAAATAAACTTCCGCAAAGTAACGCCGATTCTATTAATTATCATAGACGTCTACATTTATCCTCAATTAAGTATCAAAATGCAGATGCGTTGTCATCCCTGAAGACTGAAATGGAATGCCTTGTTTCCAGTAAAAAGGGTCTCCAATTCTCTACACTCATTATACGAAACACAGCACCATTAAGCTGCTATATTATCGGTCGGACGAACCGACCCATTCGTGCTGCGACCTCAATATAGCTGCAGCATGGCTCTACCACGTTAAGTGTTATTATTAATTGTTATTATTAACTTTGTGTAATTCATATGTGTTATTATTAACTTTGACTGCCTTGGTCTAGTGGTCGTAAGTCCAAATGCTAATCATGTAGTCCCAAGTAAAAATCCCCGGTCGGGTTCACAAAAATAGCACGAAGTCAGGATGTTGGCGTTGTGTCACTTCTGTACCTCGGAAAGCACGTAAAGCCGTTAGTCTTATCGTGTCGGTTTACCGTGCCATCGGGCTATGAGAGTGAGGCAATAGAGTGCACCTGAGCTTGAGTATACACTCGGGAACTATAACCCTGTCTTACGCAGATGGCTAGTCTCCGCTGAGACTTGCCGCCATGAACGAAACTCGGTCTAGAGGACATTATTATTATAAATTAAGGAAGATGCTGTTACCGATCTCCTATTTCAGTTTTTTTTTCGATGCCCACGGGAATGTATAGTTAAAGTTAGTTAAAGTTACAGCCTATATACGTCCCGCTGCTGGGCACAGGCCTCCTCTCATTTCTGAGAGGGTTTTAGGGCAAGATAACATCCGCCGCGCTGCCATAATACGTGTTAGCGAACTTTACATATCTTCGAAACATTTTTGTATTTTTTTTCTCTTAGACATGCAGGTTTCCTCACGATGTTTTCCCTCACCGCCGAGCACGTGGTGAATCAGCACTTAAAATTGCAATTAACATTTTCATTGATGCCGGCAGGGATTGAACCCGGGTTGCTTGCGTACTGTGAACTGCGAGCCCTTAATCCCTGAGCTACCACGGCTCCTTGAGTTACCACGGAACGTTATGTGGCAGTGGATATTCTTACACCGTCACTACACGGTTTTAAAGTTTTAAGAAAGGTGTTACTGTGGTCTAAATTTTGGCCAACCGCTCACATTTGAAATCAAATTTCAGACTAAAGAAAATCAACGTAGAAACAAAGAGGCGGAAAAGATTGACAGCCTACAGCAAGAAGAAGAGGCGAGAATAGAAAAAGAGTTGGCTGATCTTTATAAGGATTCCGCAGGTGGAACAAGTGGATTGCATTTTTTATGTTATTAACTAGCTGTGCCCGCAACTTTTTTCGCATAGTATAATTTTTAGTATATCATTATTATATACATACGTCTTTATTTAAATCGGATGTTGTTCACAATTTCATGGGATTTAATTTTTTGAGCGAAACCTTAATTATTTAACTAAAAAAAAGTAGCATTAGTTACTCGTTATAACATCAGCTATCTGCCAGTGAAAGTCAAAATCTGTCCAGGGAAAACAGAAAATTATTATTTTGTTACAAGTACTATATACACAATATACCTTCGTATGCATTTAGTAAAAAGCTGTTATTTTGACATTACAAACAGACACTTCAATTTTATTTATTTGTAAGATTACGGATATACCATAAAAAGTAATATATATCATGATAAAGATAGCATCACTGATATTATATGGAGGAACTTAGGCTTTTTATATAGGGGTAGTGGATATTCTTACACCGCCATTACAAGGGCGGTTTTACACGCGCTTTAAATGTATGATTTTTTTATATAGGATAAGGGTAATAAACGAGCACACAGTCCACCTGATGGTAAGTGGTTGCTGTGGCCCATAGACATCTACATCTATCATCGACTACGAATTAAAATGTAGATGCGTTGTCACCCGTGAGAATTAGGATGGAATGCCTCGTTTCCAGTAAAAAGGGTCTCCGGTTCTCTACACTCACCATACGAAACAAAGCAGCATTAAGCTGCTATTTTACGCTGGTATTCTGTGAGAGCGTGGTCCTTGCCCGGTAGAGCCGATCCATTGGTGCTACAACTATACTACTAATAAAGCTGCTGCATGACTCTACCACGTTTAAACAGTCAGTACATTATGCTTTATCATATGTTGGTACCGGAGGAACCGGAGATCATTTTTACTGGAAAAGAGGGACGTTGTGTACATTCAATCTTAGGTGTGACAACGCACCTGCATTTTGATTCATAGTCGAGGAGAGATGTAGATGTCTAATCAATTACCATCAAGTGGACTGTGTGCTCGTTTGTTACCCTTATCCTATAAAAAAGCAAAATTGTTGCTGTTTTACTGTCTGAAATAAACTAATTTCATTTATTTAATTTCAGACTACAAGGCGGACAGCGCAGAAATTTCCAAAGAGCCAAGCGAAGCCACCAACGCGACCACGCAAGCACTTCCAGAAGTTACTACAGAAGTTACCGACAAACCAATAGCTAGAGCAGGAAACGAGTACGTTATTTTAACTGAGTTCAAAAAACGAGGTTTTATATTCGATGCATAAAATAGAATAGAATCATTCTTATGAATACTAGCTGAACTCGGCACACGTTGCCCTGCCAGCTTATATCATAGGTAGTTTTCAGCAACGTCTTTTATTTATTTGAAAAAAAAAAACGCAAATAAAATGAAGAATTTTAAATTTTGTTGTTTCTAGTTCTTTTTTTTTCATTTTTTTTTATTTTATAAATAAAAACATTATCCGTTGAAATATATACATATACACCAATTTTCTAGATTTTGAGTTTTTAAACGATTTCATATATAGGATTATTTTTCAAGGAGTAGCCAAATTTTAAACTTAAGTTCAAATATATAAATAATGATATACCTTTAGTGCAGTTTTTGAAAATACGAGTAAATAAGGCTTCTACTTTTATTTGAAATTATCCCAAATTGAATGAGATTTATGGGCAACAACGTTTTTGCCTACCGATCGACCCTTACGAATGTGTGCGTGCGCAGTAAAATCAGTTAAAATAATGAATTACCACGCGTTTTGAATTTCAAAGATAAAAGGGACAGAATGTTTGAGATTTTTTAAATTAAGTCTTCTTCACAATTTGCCTATATTATTAAAGAAACATACTTCAAGCCGCCGAAGAAGAATTTTCAATTTTTACCATCCGTCAAGTGTCATATCCCTCTACAAGATGCAGGAGTGTACAAGCTGGATTGTGAATGTGGTCTCTCTTACATAGGACAAACAAAAAGATCTATTAAAACCCGCGTTAAAGAACATATAGCTGACGTGAAGCACCGAAGTATCGGGAAGTCTGCAGTTTGTGAACATGTTCAAGATCGTCCCCTCCATTACATTAGATTTGATAGACCACAAAAGAAATCCTCGCAAAAGAACACCGATTCCTACCAAGGACGATTCGTGAGGCTATGGAAATTAAAAACATCCTAATTTCAATAGAAAATATGGATGGGTGCTGCCATCTGCTTGGGATCCTATAATTAATAAAATTACAAGACTTCAAGATACTGTAAGCTCATTGTGCGTAGATCGGACCAAAAATTGATATTCAGAAACTGAAGGTAGCTGGGCTAACTGTGACATCGGGACGTCAAACACCTCAGTCCTCCCCGTGACCACGGGTGCTGCAAAGCACTCGAAACGTCGGGAATTAAAAAGTTAAATTAAACGCGATAAAATCCGTAAAAAAATAGTTTCATTTAATAGAAACAGACTATTGAATAAACCTACTTTTATGGATTCTATCGCGTTTAATTAACTTATTTTTTATTAATTCCCGACGTTTCGGGTGCTTTACAGTACCCATGGTCACGGGGGACTGAAGTGATTGACATCCCGAACTCAGAGTTAACCCGGAGTACTTTCAGCTTTTTAAATTATTAATTTTGGTCCGATCTACGCACAATGAACTTACTGTGTCTTGAAGTCTTGCAGTGGTATGCTTGGGTTTAGTTTTTATTAATTACAGGATCCCAAGTAGGCGGTAGTATCCAGCCTCCTTGTCTATTGAAATTAGGACGTTTTTTTAATTTCGATAGCCTCGTGAATCATCCTTGGTAGGAATCGATGTTTTTTCGCGAGAATTTATGGTTTATCAAATCTAATGTAATGGCGGGGGCCGTCTAGGATATGATCATAAACTGCAGACTTCCCGTAACGTTGGCGTTTCTAGTTCATGTTTCAAGTTCCACGTGGGGGCAGTTTAAAAACATAAATTGTACAAGGACAAACATTTCTATGTTACAGGTTCAAATTCCAGCCTGACAGCTACAATTTCGCTGATGTGGAGCGCTTCAGGACCTCGATAGACATCATTCGCTGTGACAGAAATCGACTCTCGGGAACTGTTAGTCACTTACTGTTTCATCAAAGCATCAGCATTTTACACGTGGTAGAGCCACGCTTCAGATATATTATGGTTGTAGCACGTATGGATCGGCTCGACCGGGAAAGGACCACGCTACAGAATACCATCTACCATCTAACATGTACATGATTACTTTTCTCAACTTTGATTCTATCTAGTTCATTTGTATATAATTATTCTCCTTTATTTAGTTACAATATTTGTTTATATGTATGGCACTTTTTTGTTATATGTAATATTTTTAAAGTATATATTTGTACTTTTATATATTTATGCTTATAAAAATATATATTTATTTGTATCTTTATACATATATATATTAATAAGTACATATGAATTTATCTTATCTATGTAGTTATTTATATACCATTATATATTTTTATTTTATGGCTTTAATAAAAATAATGTTATTTTGTTAGCAAACCACACACGTTTTTATTGTTTTCTTGCAATCCTGTCCATCCAAAGGTTGTCTGGAAGAGATCGCTTTTGGCGATAAGACCGCCCATTGTACCACATTTCTTTTTCTCATTTTTTGTTAATATTTTTGTTATTTTTTGGCGTACAATAAAGTGTTATCTATCTATCTATCTATCTATCTATCTACCATCGTGAAATAGCAGCCTATCGCTGCTGTTTCGTATGACGAGTGTAAAGAACCGGAGACCCTTTTAAATGCAAACGAGGCATTCTATCCTAGTCCTAAAGAAGAGTTGCATTTTGATTCTATGTTGTACCGGAAGCACAGAATAAATAATGCCGGAAGCTCGCGCGAGTCTCTAAGATTGTGGCCGCAACGGGCTAGATTCAACCTTGTTTCAATTACTTAACAGTCACATTCCTTTAACAACATGAAGTAACCAATGCGATTCACGTGACGCAGCATGCCGCGGTTTCGCGCGAGACGTTTCGGTCTATTCGTGTTGAAATAAAGGAATGTCAGTTCTAATATAATTGAAATAAGGTCGAAAAAGTGTTTTTTACGTGGTAGAGCCAAGCTGCAGCTATTATTTATAATATAGTTGTAGCACGTATGGGTCGGCGCGACCGGGGCAGGAACACGCTCTCACATAATACCAGTGTAAAATGGCAGCTTATTGCTGCTGTGTTTCGTATGGTGAGTGTAGAGAACCGGAGACCCTTTTTACTGGAAAAGAGGCATTCCATCTTAGTCCTCAGGCTGACAACACATCTGCATTTTGATTCGTAAACGAGGATTCTTACACTTACCATCAGGTGGACTGTGTGCTCGTTTGTCACCCTATTTCTATAAAAAAAAAGAAAATCTTTTGTCTACGAAAAAATCTGTGTTGTCTGTGAGCGCAGTTCCTAAAAGAAACTATGAAATAATTTGATTGGTGTTTTTTTCCAGACCAAGTCGCCCTCCTCATCCGGACACCGTTATTCAGCAAATGTAATAATTATAGCGATATTCTTTTCTAAAACCTTTTTAAATTTGTAAAATCTACTATTAATCTAAACTGTTTATTATTTATATAATTCAATCAATTATAAACAGGTACAGTTAACACCACAACGACGGGTTTCTTTATCTCTGAAACGTTTCGTTTTTCGTTACGTTCCGTTTTAACTTTATACGAAATCAAATTGACTAATGATCCGGTAACAGGACGAATAATATGTATATTTTATTTAATCGCCTAGACTTAGCTGGCTAAAACTACTTTTAGTCAAACTTGGGTGTATTTGATTTATTCATATCTAAAACTATGGTGCCGATGACTGCGGCTAAAACTATTTCTAATAAGTCCAACTTTTGACAAAGTTAAAAATAGCTATGACTTTACACCTAGAAGCACCTATCAAGCAATATCAGTGACCAGTTAGAGGTGGTGGCAACTCCAGCATAGGTTTATTATTCTTGCTGGCGTTACTTGTACCGTGAATAAATCGAATATACCCAAATTTAACCAACAGCAATTGGCTGCATCTAGTTGTAGGTTGTAGCCCGCTAAACTTAGAATAATTAAAAAAACAAATTGTCGGATAAATGAAACAAAATTATTGGCCCGGTTAGCCGAATAATTAGATTCAGCCTATACTAAATACGAGTACATGTAAAAACTGTTATTCTAAAACTATCCATTCGGCAACAATTTTAAGCATTTTGTATGTGTTTGTTTTTTTTAAATATAGTTTTACATGCACTTTTTGCATTGAAGAACGAGCTGTATTGAAAACGAAACGCATTTATAAATAAGGAAGTACTTGTTTAATCCGAAGCCAGAAGGCTTATATAATCACCGAGATTTTCTTGTGAATGTTCTCGTTATGTAGTTTATAGTTATGAGGACTACAAGAGCTAAGTGACCTCGAATGACGCACGCACACATTTACACAATTTTTGTATAGCATCACACCTCGACCGGCACTGTCGGTACAAAGGCGTTTGCCTACGTTGCGTACGTATTATGTTCAGAAATAAGAATATGCGATTTAAACAAAAATCTATTGATTGGACTAAAAAATTAAAACACTATTACGTTAATATGTTGCTTGTAGAATAATATGACAAAAATCAGAATGATTGCATGTACGAGTATATTAGTATGGTTCTTAATCGTTAAAATAAATTTTTAGAGGTATCTTCGTGATTTGTTTTCTATCAGAAAAATATCATATGTTTTTCTAATTTTATTTACTGCAATGGAGCATATATTTTAAAACATAATAAACCTTGCGTTTAGCTCATGTAGTCCCCTTCAACTTTGGGAAAAAAAAATTATTCGCCATATAGTGTATATAATTGTGGATTGTATTTTGTTAAACAAAATTTTTGTGTCTCTTTCTAATATAATTGTAACTATTATTAGGTTTTTTTTTATAAATAAAGTAAATTTCTTTGTATATTGTCTTTTATTCTGCCGACTTCCAAATAGGAGACGGTACTCAATTCGACTGTATTTTTTTAATGTGTGTTACCTCATAACTTTGTACCGGGTGAACCGATTTCGATGATTCTTTTTTTATTTGAAAGCTGGTACTTCTCGTGTGGTACCATATGAATTTGATCAAGGTCAGACCAATAGTTTTTGAGTTATTTTTAATAACTTATATTGAACGCCGACGGCAGCGTGTTCGCATCGAAGATGAGTTCTCATCTTGGTGCGAATTACGGGCTGGAGTGCCTCAGGGTAGTGTGCTGTCTCCTTTACTTTTTGCTATATTCATTAATTCTATCTCTCAAAATATTACTTCTCTCTATCACATGTATGCAGACGATCTCCAAATCTACACTCAGTCAACTCTGTTAAATCTGCCTTCTGCTGTTGCCACCATCAACAATGACCTAGCGGCGATAAACCAGTGGAGTCAGCGTTATGGTCTAAAAATTAATCCGTTCAAGTCCCAGGCTATAATTATTGGTGGTGGAGGGATGGTCTCCAGAGTTGACTGGAACAACCTACCCTCGGTGACACTAAATGACGTTGTCATACCCTACAGTAAATCTGTAAAAAATCTGGGAATATATCTAGATTCTACCTTGTCGTGGTCGCAGCAGTTAAAACAAGTGAGCAAAAAGGTGTTTGCTACTATGGGTTTACTTCGTCGTTTACGTTCTTTTCTCCCCATTCCCACTAAGATTATGTTAGCACAATCCTTACTTCTCTCTATTCTCGATTATGCGGACGCAAGTTATCTCGATTTAACTGAAGACCAACTGAACAAACTTGAGCGAATTCAAAATATTGCTATTAGGTTCATATTTGGTTTGCGCAAATATGATCATGTATCCGAATATCGTTTACAGCTCAAGTGGTTACCCATTCGCTTTCGCCGGAATCTGCAAACTGTATCTCTTTTGTACTGTGTGTTGTTCAATCCTTTGACTCCAAGCTACTTGAAGGAAAACTTTAAGTTTCTTGGTCATGATCGACCTGATAGAGTTCTTCGGTCAGCCGGCGAACTAATTCTAGAACCATGTTCATTTCGAACAAAATTTATGAAATATTCTTTTACGAGCCAAGCCATAAGGTTATGGAATGAACTTCCACTCCAAATTCAACGTGCTCAAACTTTGAAAAGATTCAAAAGTGACGTCAAGAAGCATTACCTAACACTTTGTGGTTATTGATAACCAATTCTAGCAATAGATAGTTATTCTGTTTTTTTTTTGTCCTCTTTGTTTTGTATTTATTTATTTATTATCTTTGTATATATATGTATGTGTATATGTTTATATATATATATATATATATATATATATATATATATATATATATATATACCTATTTATTAATATGTATGTTTATTTTATTATTATTTTTTATGTATTATTGTGGTATTTTAACAAAATATAGTTTAGTTTATTTAGATATTAGTATGTAAGTGTAACATAAAGCGCACCACCTCCTACTGTTCTTAATTCCAGTTTCTCTTTAGCCCAAAGGTTGTCTGGAAGAGATCGCTCTTTAGCGATAAGACCGCCTTATTGTACATACGTATATATTAAGTTTTCTCTGTAATGTATTTATTCGTTGTATATGTGTGGTGTACAATAAAGTATATACTACTACTACTACTTGAAGTCGCCTGTACAAAATTTTTAATTTTTAATTATTATTGCAGACAAGGACTCCCAACCTAGGTGGTGGAAATCCTAAGCCGACTAAAACGTAACTTTTTATACGTGGTAGAGCGACGCTGCACCTATATTATGGTTGTAGCTCGCTCTCACAGTATACCAGCATTAAATATCAGCGTAGTGCCGCTGTGTTTCATATGGTGAATGTAGAGAACCGGAGATAGTTTTTACTGAAAACGAGGCATTCCATCTTCCATCATTCAAGAGTGTCTGCATTTTGATTCTTAATCAAATACGATAGATGTATGGAGTTACCATCAGGTGGACTGTGTGCTCGTTTGGCACCTTTAATCTATAAAAATATCTTCACCGGTAATATTTTGTTTGTCACCGCGACCGTAGCGTCAATATTGTAATATTGATCAAGTGATAACACCATTGTTCATGATAGTACTTGCGATATCACTAATTATCTGTATGATACATTGGACATACAGGGTGTTTTTATTTTCATATTTCTTTATTGACTTATCTTTATATATTTATAATTCTTCTATATATGTATTTGTCACTTAACTCCTTCTAAACGGCTAGACCGATTTTAATGAAATTTTGTTTGTTTAAATGGATCCCTAGGTGGCTTAGGTTCACATTTGGAGCTAGTAGGTGGCGCTGTTGACTAGATCCAGAAATCACCTGTGCGAAGCCGGAGCGGAGCATTAGTTTATTTATAAAATTAAAGTGACGAACGATCTAAGAGTTCACATAATGGTAAGTGACTACTGAAGCCTATTTCAGAGCTGCAACCAAGTTCATACAATTATGGCTATAGAGCCATGGTAGCTCAGATGGTTAGCGCTCGCTGTGAATATCACAGTACGCGAGCAACCAGGATTCGATCCCCGTCGGCACCGATGAAATTGTTAGCTGGAATTTAAAGTGCTGATTTACTTAGGTTTCGGCGGTGAAGGAAAACATCTGAGGAAACCTGCATCTCAGAGAAACAAGAAAAAAATATTTCGAAGACATGTGAAGTTCGCCAACACGCATTGGGTCAGCGCGGCGGACACTTCCTTGCTCTAAAACCCTCTCAGAATTGAGGGGAGTACCCATGAGGACTAAGATGGAATGCATCGTAACCGGTAAAAAGGGTCCTCCGGTTCTCTACACTCACCAAACTAAACACTGACAGCGAGTAGCATTAAATTGATATTTTACACGCTTTTTGCTAGTTGCAATTGTTTTTTTTTTTTAATAACAATGATATTCCATTTGTTCTCAAGTGCAACTAATGACACATCTATTTTTAGACTTTAATTATTCTCGCCCAATTCACACAACAACTTTATAATACGTATATTAAGATAAGAGATAAACTGCTTAACTATAGATGTGATTCATACAACATTTACTTCATTCACTCGAGTGTACGTGCTTACGCCTAAGTGCTGTTTGTATAGTGATTAAACGAAATGGAACATCCAGCGTTCGCTGACGCGGGAAGCGGCCCAGGAATCGAAGTGTGGACTATCGAGGTAAGTTATTTCAACACTTATGCACTACGCACGTACGTCGGAACGTACATAATATAATAGCTGCAACATAATTTTGTAATTATGCAATCTTATAAAGAATACTAGATTAGCATTTTTGTATTTGCTACTGACTTTGAACAGGAGAAGGTACTCAATTCGACTGTATGTTTTTTTTTATGTGTGTTACCTCATGACTTTTTTCTGGGTGAACCGATTTCGATGATTCTTTTTTTTTGTATTTGAAAGCTGGTGCTTCTCATGTGGGCCCATAAATTTGATCAAGGTCTAATCAATATTTTTTGAGTTATTCTTAATAATTTATATTGAAGTCGGTTATACTAAATTTTTGATTTTAAATTATGATATATGTTTCAGAATTTCGAACCGGTGCCTCTTGAGAAGAAAATGTACGGAAAATTCTATAATGGCGACTCCTACATCGTACTTAAGGTAAGAGCTTATATTTCTTCTCTTATATTTCTTTTTATCTATACATACAATTGAAATTAAAGTGTATGTTTATAATATTGAAATAACTGGCTTCTATTTAGCTCGGGGGCTATATATATGATACTATTTTTTTTTATAGGATCGGGTGACAAACGAGCACACAGTCCACCTGATGGTAAGTGGTTACTGTGACCCATAGACATCACATCTATACTCAATAAAGACTCAAGATGCAGATGCGTTGTCACCCGTGAGGACTAAGATGGAATGCCTCTTTGCCGGTAAAAAGGGTCTCCGGTTCTCTACACTCACCATACGAAACACAGCAGCGTTAAGCTGCTATTTTACGCTGGTTTTCTGTGAGAGCGTGGTCCTACCCCGGTCGAGCCGACCCATTCGTGCTACAACCATAATATTGCTGAAGCATGGCTCTACATAGAGCCATGCTGCAGCTAAGACATAAACCACCATTTTTTTAAATTTTGTATATCTGTCTGTCTGTCCGAGCTAATCTTTAGAATGGCTGCACCGATTGTGATGGAACTGTACGAATAGATAGAGAGAACAATGCCAGGAGGAATTTAGACTATATTTATCTGAAAAACTTGAAGATTAAAAAAATAATAAAAACGTTTTTTTTTTAAATAAATCATCTTTGGTTATCTTAAACCTAAATGATTACATAAATATAACCTATATTTTATCCGATAATCTTGGAGATTTTTTTTAAATTCGGATATTTGATAAATTTAAAAGAAATAGTATGTAACTACACTTAGCATACGAGTATATACCTACTATAGTACCTATGTTACTGAATTGTGTGAGGCAGTAGCAATATGACCGGCACTGTTATAACACGCGTGTATATAAACTGATATTTCTTATAAGGACTTTATCTCATTTCTATCACACTACACGGACATTAGCTAAAAGTCATTGATGATTACCTTAAATCTAAATGCTACATTGATAAATCCTATCCAGGCGAAGCCGGGGCGGATTGCTAGTAATGTTTAAAGAACTAACGGTCCATCTGAAGTGACGTTTTTCATAAACATTGTTTCGTAATGAATATTACAATATTCACTTAATTGAAACTTAGAGGTTAACTTATAATATGATATAAATAAATTTTAACATTTTTAAGTACAAAGTAAGTTGAGTGCTTAGTTATTAAGGTACAGTTAAAAAAATAAGTGTAGTTATCTAAAGAAAAGTAAAGCACTAACGATTTTTTTAACAGAATACGAGTGACAAACGAGCACACAGCCCACCTGATGATAACTGGTTGCTGTGACCCATAGACATCTACATTTATCCTCGATTCCGAATCAAAATGCAGATGCGTTGTCACCCGTGAGGTCTAAGATGGAATGCCTCTTTTCCAGTAAAAAGGGTCTCCGGTTCTCTACACTCACCATACGAAACACAGCAGCGTTAAGCTGCTATTTTACGCTGGTATTCTGTGAGAGCGCGGTCCTTCCCCGGTCGAGCCGACCCATTCGTGCTACAACTATACTACTAATATAGCTGCAACATGGCCCTACCACGTATAAAAAATGTTACAAAAAAGCTAGTATATATATATATATATATATATATATATATATATATATATATATATATATATATATATATAATAGCTGTTTCTCGCGACTTCACCCACCTGTAATTTAGGGTTTTAATTTTCTTGCGCGGAACCCTAATTATTTTTCTAAAATATAAGTAGCCTAAGTTACTCCTTATAACCTTAGCTATCTGCTAGCTATCTGTGAAAGTTCCATCAAAACCGGTGCAGCCGTTTCGGAGATTAGCCGGAACAAACAAACAGACAGAGAACATTTTTAAAAGTTGTGTTTTTGTTATAAGTACCGTATCTTACCGTAACTTAATTAATCACATCTAATATTTTATGTTACAATTAAGTTTTCCCACACAATGTATATTGTTTTTGGAATAAATGACTAATGACTATACTTTCATATCATGTAACTAGCTGTTCCCCGCGACTTCGCCCGCGTGTAGTTTAGGGTTTTAGTTATGTTGCGCGGAACCCTAACTCTTCTTCGCCCTGTAATGTAAGTAGCCCAAGTTACTCCTTATGAAATCAGCTATCTGCCAGTGAAATTCCCATCAAAATCGGTCCAGCCGTTTCGGAGATTAGCCGGAACAAATAGACAGAAAGACAGAAAAAAAATTAAAAATTGTGCTTTTGTTATAAGTACCGTATATACTGTCATATGTAATTAGTAAAAAGCTGTTATTTTGACATTACAAACAGACACTTTAATTTTTATTTTTTATGTTTATATATTTTTTTTAAAGTTAACCCCACACTAGGATTTTCTCTTGTATCTTGGAGGCAGTTTACAAACAAAGATTGCACGAGGACAAACAGCCAGACCCGGAACAGTTATTTGTAGGCCATACAAATACTTGTTCCGTGCGGGATTCGAACCCGCAGCTCCCAGCCCAACAACTCATTGCTGAGCCACTGCGTCCCGGAGCCGTCATTTGTAGCCGTTTTTTAAACGTGATAGAACCACCCTTGTGTATATATATATGTATATAGTCTGTATATATGTATCTAAGCGTGACGGTCACGCGAGTTCAGTGCTTTTTACCCATCCAGGTTTCACTGCAAAAATATGTCTCGGTCTGCATGCTCTAAGGTGATCTCAATCTCAATGAGAGTAGTTTGAAGCCAGGCCAGAAGTCTCTCAACCGAGTAACCATTTTACCTTACATTTTCAGACATCTGGCGAGCACAATTTTTCCTACGACGCCCATTTCTGGATAGGCAGCAATACTACTCAAGACAAAAAGGGTTCGGCAGCGATATGGACTGTGACCTTGGACGACATGCTTGGTGGGAAGGCGGTGCATCATCGCGAAGTGCAAGGTCACGAGTCCAATCAGTTTCTCGGATATTTCCAGCCCGGTGAGTGGTATTATCCTTATGTCATTATTTTGGATGTTACCACTGTAATAAATAGTTTACAAAATTATTTATTACAGTAGCACAAGTTTATGAGGAAATTTAATGAATATAATCGTGTATAAGATATAAAAGAAATATTTGCCGTGAAAATAATTTCTTTGAAAATAAGTAATAGAAAATATTAAAAAAAAAATCATGTTTAATTGTATTATTTCAAAACTCTTGTAACAATTAATTTTATTTATGTAGTTGACGAGGTTTACTTTCCGTTTAGTGACGCAACTGTTCGTCACTAGTTAGACAAGGGAAAAAAGTGAAACTGCAGAGGGTACCACAGAGTACTTTTTATATACTGGAAGACGGTACATTCCACAGAGTACATTGGGAGCTTTAGAGTCGAATGGATTACTTGATCAGTCGATACTCGAATTTATGTTATTGTATTACTAATTACGTTTAAGTCGTCGAATCTATATAAATAAATAAAATGGAAGTGTCTGTTTGTTATGTCAAAATGACAGCTTACTAAATATGGAAGTATAAAATACGGTACTTATAAACAAAAACTCAATTTTTAAAATTTTTGTCTGTTTGTGCCGGCTAATCTCCGAAACGACTGGACCGATTTTGACGGGACTTTCACTGGCAAATAGCTGATGTTATATCATATAATAATAAAAAAATATTGTGTTCCAGCGATTCGCTACTTGGAAGGCGGCAACGAGTCCGGGTTCAATGCCGTGGAGACGAATGCTGGCGCCGAGAAACGACTGCTAAGGCTGTCTGGTTGTGACAACATGAGAATTGAAGAGGTAATCTACTTCTTCGTCATCATCATCATTTTATACGTGGTAGAGCCATGCTGCAGATATATTAATAGTATAGTTTTAGCACGAATGGGTCGGCTCGACCGGGGAAGGACCATGCCCTCACAGAATACCAGCGTGAAATAGCAATTTAACACTACTGTGTTTCGTATGGTGAGTGTAGAGAACCGGAGACGCTTTTTGAGACTGGCAAAGAGGCATTCCATCTTAGTCCTCACGGGTGACAACGCATTTGCATTTTGATTCGCGAACGAGGATAGATGTAGATGTCTATGGGTCGCAGCAACCACTTACCATCTGGTGGACTGTGTGCTCGTTTGTTACCCTAATTCTATAAAAAACACCTAGGGCTCTAAAAATATTTCTTTATTCTACTATACACTACCAGCATTGTTTTATAGCATAGTAAAAGAGTTATATGAGGTTTCGATGTTCACGTATTAATAATGATATAATATACACTCGTACTTCTGCAGGTTCCTCCGGATTCCACTTCACTGACAAAGAACCACTGCTTCATCCTGGAAGTAGACCATGATATCTTCGTGTTGATGCCTGAAGGCGCTAAAGCAACACAGAGGAGGAAAATCATCAGCGTTGCCAACACACTGAGAGACGACTATCACAATGGAAGAGCGACTATTGAGATTATAGGTAGGTACTATGGCAAATATCCCCCCTCTGAGATAGTCAATGGGGAAGCCTATATTCATCAGAGGATTTTTAATAGGCAGTAATGACTGGATGTATAGAAGATAATCTACCAGGAGCACAAGACCCGTTGAGAGGTGAAATTATTAAATCAACAGTAACATTACAACTATGACAAAATCGCCCCTATGAGGCAATCTATGGGGGAGGTCTATGTTCGGCAGTGGACTTTAATAGGCTGTAATAGATGGATGTATAGAAGATACTCTACCAGGAGCACATGACCCACTGAGAGATGAAATTATTAAATCAATAGTAACATTACAACTGTGACAAAATCGATAATGATTTTATAATAATAATTTATTATACTTTAAACTTGTAGTACATACAGAAAAATATCTGATAATGATGATGATGTCTGCCTTATGATTCGGAAATCCACAGCCGAACGTAAGCCTCTCTTCTAGTTCGACATATATATGGGTCTGTTGTAGAGCGTGTTCCTTAATTTCCACAATTAGCAGTTGTATAGAGGATCGCAACACCAGATGTAAGCACCTTCGATGCTGCTTCCCGTCGCCGGTCCAGGGATTTTTCGTCTGGGTTAAACGAGATTATACCGACATCTATTTGAAGCTATAGGCTATTACTAGCGTATCCAAAATCACCTCTAACAACACCCAGGGAATGAGATGAGGGAATGAATTTCCTAACACTACCGCACGGCACTGTCACACACAGTCCTGCTTGAGAGGTTGCAATTCCTAATTCATTGGTGAAGAAACATTATACCGATAGTTGAACAGCAGTCTAAATTGTGCAGCGAACTTAGTGAGGAGTTTATCCTGGCAGGGTCGCCATGTAATATTGGAAGTATTAATGACGAGATGTGTTGATCTTTCTATATATTTAATTGTAGGTCTACGTCTACTATATACTTTTTTATAGGCTAAGTGTGACAAACAATGACACAGTCCACCTGATGGTAAGTGGTTGCTGTGGCCCATAGACATATAGATCTATCCAAGATTAAGAATCAAAATGCAAATGCGTTATCGCCCTTGAGGACTGAGATGAAATGCATGCACTAGCCACACAAAACTATGCTATATGACGCTGGTGTCCTAGGAGAACGCGGTCCTTCCCTGGTCGAACAGACCCATTCGTTCTTCAACTATAATATTAGCTGCATCATGAGCGTGACTGCCTCGTCGATCTAATGGTCATAAATGCGGTTACTGATGTAGAAGTCCCGGGTTTGGTTGAAATCAATTATTGGGTTTTTGTGATAAGAAATTCTCAGTAGCTGCCCGGAGTCAGAAAGTTGGCGGTGTCTCACTCCCGTGCCTCGGAAAGCACGTAAAGCCGTTGGTCTTGCGCCTGGTCTCTCTCCGGTCGTCTCAGTTTGCCGTCCCATCGGACTACGGGAGTGAGGCAACAGACCTGTGCTTGCGCATACAATCGGACACTATAATTCTGTCCTGCTCTAATGGCTAGTCTCCATTGAATCTGTCAGTGAAATTCGGTCTGGATCTGGAGGACATTATTAAAGCAGCACTTAAAATTAATAGCTATTTTAAATGCTGCTTTCGGACATCGCACATCGGACATCAACATCAACAGAGTATTATCGCTTTTCCTCAAGTTGCTCAAATGTCTTCGGCCAGAATATTCCAGCATTACGATTCAAAGTTGTCGCCTGCCAAACGTGGTGATTAGGACGAATCCAGCCTACGATAGTTAGACCCATCAGTAAAATTGTATGTCCAAAAACAGTCATGGAAACTAAATATTTTGAAGCCTGCTATAAATAAAATTTACTTTTTGCAGATGAATTTTCATCCGACGATGACGTAGCTGTGTTCTTCGAAGCACTCGGATCAGGCTCTAAAGACGATCTGGTTGAGGACGATTCGACACAGGTAAGTTATTTAAATAACTCCTCCAAATTTAAAACGATATTTGCACAATTATTTGTGCCGCGGCAGCAACGTGCCTGGTGCCAGGCAGTAATTGATAAAACATCCCTATTAAAATTCCAGCAGACATACGCCAGAGAGGACATATCGGCTGTGTATCTGTACCGCGTGCTGATTGGTGACGAACTCGACTTGATCTCGCTGAGTAAACCTTACAAACAAAGCCAGCTGTCTTCTGCCGTGAGTATTAGACTTTTTAATATAATTTTTGACTGTTTTAATAAAATGTAAAAACCGTCTTCAAATGGTTAAAAAAGAAGTTATTTATTTACTATATTATAAGGGTGACAAGCGAGCACACAGTCCACCTGATGGTAAGTAGTTGCTGTGACCCATAGACATCTACATCAATCTTCGTTTGCGAATTAAAATGCAGATGCGTTGTCACCCGTGAGGACTAAGATGGAATGCCTCCTTTCCAGTAAAATGGATCTCCGGTTCTCTACACTCACCATACGAAACACAGCAGTGTCAAGCTGCCATTTCACGCTGGTATTCTGTGAGAGCGTGGTCCTTCCCCGGTTGAGCAGACACATACGTGTTGCAACTATACTACTAATATAGCTGCAGCATGACTCTACCACGTACCACCCTAGAAGTATAACCTATTTAATAAAAAAAGAATCTAAAAGCTTTTAGAAAATTTTACTTCGCAAATATCCGCGTTATAAAATAAAATGATGTGTCTTACCTAGTATGAAGAGGACCTCCCGCCCTCCCTCTATCTACACTAGACACACCACTGACGATAAGTCAGTGGTGTGTCTTGCCTAGTGTAGTGGTGTTGGGAGTAACGGTGCTGGGATTAGTGGTGACGGAGATAGTGCACGCAATTGAGGGAGGGCGGGAGGTGATCTTCATACTAGGTAAGACACATCATTTTATTTAACGCGGATATTTGCGAAGTAAAATTTTCTAAAAGCTTTTATATAATGGATTTCCGCAAAGTAACGCCTGATTCTATTAATTATAAAAAAAGAATCATCAAAATTGGTCCACAATTTTGTATGCACGTTACGCGATACCTTCTCGAAAACGTCCTCCTTTTTGAAGATGGTTAAAAATTGACACAAACTAACTCACAGTCCACCTGATGGTAAGTGACTTCTGTAGATACGGACGCCTGCAGACAACTTCAAGCAAAGAAGGCTACGGATGCGGTGTTCTGAGGACTGAAATGGAATACCTCACTACTCCCCATCTATCAAAAAATTATAATTGAAGTATTAAAGAATACATGATTCATAACAAGCCCTGGGAATGAGATGACGGCAAGATAAAAAAAAGAGTCCAGCTGAATTTTACTGGTGCCCAGAGCGAAGGATTTTTCCGAACCTCTATTCGAATAAAAACCCGTTACTGCTTATGCAAAGTCCACTGTTGAACATAGGCCTCCCTCATAAATTGACACTTGCGGGTTGGCAAACAAAGTTTTATTTTTATTTTTAGTTGTAATTAGAAAGACGCTGCTGCCCATCTCCTAGTTTGTTTCCATCTGTTGCCTATAAAGACACCCACGGGACGATGTGCGTAGTGCATATCCTTACACCCTCTAAGCTTACACCAATACCATACGGTTATTCAAAATAAAAATCATTATTTTATTCAAGTTTAAATAAGCAACACCTGTACACCATGTTATAACGTTCGAATTCTATCAGCAGCACATGTTTTTACAGGAGGTGTACATCCTGGATACTCCTTGCACCGGTGTGTACGTGTGGCTCGGGAATGAGTTGGACGCAGACATCAAGAAGGACTATAACGACATTGTCCAGAAATATCTGGACTTGAAGGGTTATCCGTCATGGGTGAGCTAAAGTAAAAAAAAAACAGTTATGAAAGGTTTCCCCGTAGAGTCCTTTCTTTAGTAACGTCTTACTTCTGGAACAAGGATCTGTCTAATTTTCTAGGAGGAATTTTGGAGCAAAAGGATTCCGCCGCACTGCAATGCGTGTTTTATACAGTCAAAGAGGACAAACGAGCACACGGTCCACCTGATATTGAGAGTATACTCTGGCCCATAGATACATATATCCACGATCAGAAATCTAAAGGCATATACGTTGTAACCTCTAAGTGCTATGATGGTTTTTTTTAAGAGCAAGGGCGACAAACGAGCACACAGTCCACCTAATGAGGGCTAATATTATTCCACTCACCAGATGTCGCTACTTGACACTGAGGTAAAGTATTTTCGTTACACAATGTCATTTGTACGAGTAGTAAGTTTTAAATAAATGTTTATCAGTTTCTAGAGTATTATATTAATACACAAAACAATGCGTCAGTGGTTTGCTCTTTAATTTTTTGCACACAATATTTAACTTTTTTTAAATTTTAATACTTTTATGATGTGGTTTGGTTTATTTATTATTAATCTTATTAATATAAAATATAGTTAATAGAATAGAAAGAAGCCTTTACATTTTCCGAACAAATTAACTTCCCCGCTATGAAACCTGTCAAATATTATACCTCACTTTTAAGTGGAGCCGCCCTCATTGGATACCGTAGTCCATAGAAACGTATATCTATCTTCGATTTCAAGTCAAAATGCGTTGTCAACTCTGGTGTCTGAGATAGAATGAGTGAGAGTGAGCGCGTGGTCCATCCCGGTCGAGCCGACCCATTCGTACTACAACTATACTACTAATATAGCTGCAGCATGGCTCTACCACGTACAATAATAAAAATAAAAATGTTACATTATGTAGGTAAAACATATATTATATTAAGGGCATAGATTGCATATACATTTTTATAATGAAACTAATTAATACGGATTTTATCGCGTTTAATTTAACTGTTTAATTCTCGACGTTTCGGGTGCTTTACAGCACCCATGATCACGGGGGGACTGAGGTGTTTGACGTCCCAATGTAGTTAGCCCGGCTACCTTCAGTTTTTGAATATTAATTTTTGGTCCGATCTACGCAGAATAACTTACAGTATCTTGAAATCTTGCAGTGGTATGCTTGGGTTTGGATTTAATTTTATTACTTATAGGATCCCAAGCAGACGGCAGCACCCATCCATCTTCTCTATTGAAATTAGGATGTTTTTTTTAATTTCAATAGCCTCGCGAATCACCCTTGGTAGGAATCGGAGTTCCTTTGCGAGGATTTGTGGTCTATCAAATCTAATGTAATGGCGGGGACGATCTAGAACATGTTCACAAACTGCGGACTTCCCGGAACTTCGGTGCTTCAAGTCAGCTAAATGTTCTTTCACGCGGGTTTTAATAAATCTTTTTGTTTGTCCTATGTAAGAGAGACCACATTCAGAATCCAGCTTATACACTCCTGCATCTTGTAGAGGGATATGACACTTGACGGATGTAAATATTCACTAATTTTCTTCGCCGGCTTGAAGTATGTTTTAATGGAAGCTCGCTTCAAGATTAGCCAACCTTGTCTGTGACTCCTCTGACATAGGGTTGTACAGCAGGCACACGTTCGACTGTGGCCGGCTTCACTCGGTCATTGTGACATAGGCGTGGGACCAGAAATTCTCAGTAGCAACGCTGTTTCACGTCCGTGCGTCCGAAAGCACGTAATCTCTCTGATCTCTCTCCGGTCGTGTCGGATTGTCGTCCCGTCAGACTATGACAGTGAGGGAATAGAGTGCACCTGTGCTTGCACATACACTTGTGCACTATAGTCCTGTCGTGCGCAGATAGCTAGTTTCTAGACAATGGCCATCGTGACCGAAATTTGGTCTGGATGACTTTTATTTTTAATAGTAGAAGTAGCAAGCCATAACGTAAAATAACTTTTTTTGCAGGTGAATGTTACCAGGGTGACAGAGGGTAACGAGAGTTGCAACTTCAAGCAGTACTTCCACAATTGGGACACTTTGAACGCTACGTCAATTCATGGGCTGCTTTCAGAAACAGGTATGCGAATATATAATTTACTCGAAGAACCGACAACCGATGGCAAAGAAAGGTTCTCGAATGGCAGACTCTCACCCGTTAAGCGAAGTGTAGGTCGGTCCCCCACTAGATTGAATGACGACCTGGTAAGATATGCAGGAAGTCGATGGAAGCAGGCGGCTCAGGACTCTGCTTTGTGACATTCTTTGGAGAAGGCATAAGTTCAGCAGTGGACTTGTGATGGGCTGTATTATTGATGATGATGATGATGTTAAACATCACCATCTAAAATTTTATCTTATTTAGACTACACTAAATTTTAAAGATGCGGGATACTTCTCGAGTGACGCCGACGAGTCTGGTGCTGCGGCGAAACTGATTGGAAAAAGTGCGACAGCCAGGGGCTTTATGCCAGACCAGGGAGAAGGGACCTTCACTGTAACTCGGTAAAATATGACACTTATCTTCTATACATATAAAAAAAAATTGAATGGTAAGTGTTTGTACTACCCGTGCAGTTAAAGGATTCAAAATGGCGTCGCCTATATTCACCTCTCACTCGCAGACTGTCGCTATCTATACTCACAAAAAAAACTGGTAAGGACTGCAAAAAAATAACGTTGCGGTATGCATTTTTTGTACGTTCTATAACTTCAGTCCAATTTGGAATCAATGATAACAAAATGCCATAAACTACAAAAATTCAGTTCGGTTTCGCTTCCGGTTAGCGACAGTTTTGAGTTTCTTCATAATTATTGTCGATTTTGTTTGTTAATATTTTTGTATAAAATATTTAGACGCTATTGAGACGTGAGTAAGCACGTGGTAAAGCCGTTGCAGCTTTATTACTGGTATAGTTGTATGGGTCTCCGGTTCTCTACACTCACCATACGAAACACAACCATGTCAAGCTGCCATTTTACGCTGGTTTTCCGTGAGCGCGTGGTCTTTCCCCGGTCGAGCCGACCCATTCGTGCTACAACTATACTACTAATATAGCTGCAGCATGGCTCTACCACGTATAAAAACGTGTCAATGGCGGCGTTGAGTCATTTACTGCATTTTAGTCTAGTGTTTATATATAGTTCGCAAGTTTTTGATACTTCATGCACACCAGTACTACAATGTTAACATGTTTTCCTTCGTTCTCTATCCGTGCGGATCACACGTGTGTCCACAACATGTGTGCTGCACAGCTGGGTTAGTATTAATTATTAAATTGTCTAATTAAATGTGTTGTTTGCGGAGCGACGTACATTTTACGGCGTTTTTAATTTTTCAATCTCACGACAATGTAAATTTTAAACCTTTTTGTAGCTGCAAAAGGGATATATACGCCTACTGCCCAGCTCCTATGGCAGATAGCGTGATGGATTATAATTATTCCAAAGGTTCGATCTCTATGTGACACGATAGTGAAAATCACATCTAAATCGGTTCACAGGTTTTTGTGTGACGCGTTCAGACAGACAGACAGACATACAATGTTTCCAAAAAAAAATTGTTTTGGCATCTGTATCGACCATATTATAGTACACCTCAATTCAAAATTCAAAAATATTCAATATTATACAGAAATGGTCCTGTTAGATTTTTACTATAGTTATGTAATAAAATATAATATAGATAAATAATGTTTAACTTTTAATTTAAATTTTAATGTTTTTATTAAAGTTTATCTGAATAGGTTTCTTGACAGAAAATTATACATATTTTAAAACCAAACGAAAATCAGTCACCGAGCCACTAGAACATTATACCATTCATCATTATCAGACGACTAATTTACGGCAGAGTTACGGGCGGACATATATACATACATACCAAATAACCATACAATATAATCACATTTCATTCCATATAAAGATTTTTTTATACAGAATAAAGGTGACAACCGAGCATAAAGTCAACCATAGACATCTATCTACATCTATCCTCGATTACGCATCAAAATGCAAATGCGTTGTCAAGCCTGAGGACTGAGATGGAACGCCTCCTTACCGCTAAGGTCTCTTGTTCTCTACACTAATCATACGAAACAGCGTTTGCCTGCCATTCAACTCTGGTATTTTGTATTTTGTATTTTTTAAGCTAACACGTAAAAAATATATTTTGAAACCAATTAATTAATTATTTTAGTGTGTCCAGTGACGAGGAAGATGTCACGGAGAGGATTGCTGAGAGGCCGGTGCTGTACCAGAACGACGTGTATACAATTAAGTACCAGTATAGTGACAGCAACGGAGAAGACGCTTTTGTTGTCTACGTGTGGATGGTGAGTACATATACATTCTTATTCTATGTCATCATCGTTAAAGTCCACATTTTTTTTTTCATAAAACTGAAGTGATAATGGTAAATGGCTGTTGCAGTCTATGGACATCTGCAGATAACATCAAACGAAGGCAACATGTGCGATGTCACGTCTGAGGACTAAGATGGAATGCTCACAGCCTGTTATCACACTGGCTTTATACTCTTTCAGACTGGTACAAAACGGCAAGCACGCTTATACGATCAAGGGCGGATTAAATATCGACAGCGTCCTAGGCTAACACCTCATCGACACCCTCTTGGCGGCCATATATTATAGATTATAAATACTTATTTGTCAAATAAACTATATTATAATTTATAATACAATTAGTATATGTAACAGGTGGGCTTAAATTAAAATGTATTTTTTACGTGGTAGAGCCATGCTGCAGCTATATTAGTAGTATAGTTGTAGCACGAATGAGTCGGCTCGACCGGGGAAGGACTACGCTCTCATAGAATACCAGCGTAAAATAGCACCTTAACGCTGCTGTGTTTCGTATGGTGAGTGTAGAGAACCAGAGACCCTTTTTACTGGAAACGAGGCATTCCATCTTAGTCCTCACGGGTGACAACGCATCTGCATTTTGATTATCCTCGTTTGCGAATCAAAATGCTGATGCATTGTCACCATGTAGCTTTCGTTTGATGTTAGCTGCAGATGTCCATAGACTGTAACAGCCATTTACCATTATCACTTCAGTTTTATGAAAAAAAAAATGTGGACTTTGAATGGTCCTTCTCCGGTCGAGCCGATCCATTCGTGTTACAACTATACTACTAATATAGCTGCAGCATGGCTCTACCACGTATTAAGATATATTTTCTTATGCTAATTATCGCTAGGGAACTGACGCCGAACCAACAGACAAGCAAGCAGGCTTAGATCTAGCCTCGCAAATCGAGCAGGAGTCGGAAGCCGGCGTGACCGTGGTGAAAGTGCCACAAGGAAAGGAGCCCAAGCATTTCTTAAGTATTTTCAAAGGTAATAAACAATAAGAAAGTTTATTGATGATTTTTTTTATCAAATTTAAGTGACAAACTTACATGCCAACCTAATGGCATATAACTACGAACATCCTGTGTCCTTATTGCAACCAATTTTAAATAAAGGACAACAGTTGTGTTGTCGCCTCTGAGGACTGAGATAGAATGCCTCCTGGCGTGTAATTTTATTTGCACCCATAGCAAGGCTACCCTTCGGAAGCGGGGGAGGGAGGTGGTGAATGCTCATAGCATACCACGCAGCCGGCTGCGTAGTTATGTGGGACTCACTAAGAAGTGCCTACCCACTAAACACCACCTGTGGGACTGGATTTGGTCTGTATGGCCTTTCTGCCGAATCGGAAGCGACCCCCCCTTATGGAAGAGGGGCGCGGGGCACAACCGTACCTGGACGGGAGCGCGGGTCAACTAACACAGCCGCACGGGAGCAGCGGTGCCACTCACCGTACGGGGACAGTGAGCACGGTCTGCTAACACAACTGCACGGGGGCGGTGGTGTTAGCGAAGGCGGGAAGGCACTCACCGTACGGGGACGGTAAGCGCGGACAGCTGACACCACCGCACGGGGGCGGCGGCACTAGCTGCGGCAGGACGGGACGGGACTGACGTTCTATTTGTCGACTGAACCGACCGAGGAATTCCTGTACGGCGACGGGTGCTCGGTCAGCTAGCGGAACCCGCCAGCGCATGATCGCACGGTAGCGACAGCACAAGCGGAATCGAGATCGTGTATGTAGTTATACTTATACTGGCTCTCTATATAGAACACGGCAACTAATTCGGCAAGGTTTTGGCGTAGTGGGAGAAAGTTTGCGCATGAACAACGGGACTTGGACACGTTGCGGGAGGCAAGAATCGACTGGCCAACCAATCGCGCTCTCGGAACTGTACTGGCCAAATAATTGCGCGCTCGAAAAGATGCTACCTCGTTCCCCGCACCCCGCTTAGTAAAAAAGAGATCTAAAAATAACTTCTGTGCATCTAACGAATCTTGCCAAGTTAAGCTGAACGCACATTTGTCCGCACAGTAGACGTCGTACGCGCCGCATGGAAATCTTTTGTATTACCAACAAATTTTGTAGTTTTTTTCCAACCACTGGTGTGAAACGGTACAGTGAAATTGATCGCTCGAAATCACTATGGAAAGAAATATAGTAATAGCCTGCTTATTCGCAGAGGAAGAAGAAAATAAAGTTTGAAGAAAAAGAAGATTCTGGATTCATAATATTAATTTAAAAAGGCAATTGTATGGAGAATATGAAGGGGGTATACTTTATTTAAAGACTTATTAGATGATGATGAACGATTTTTTTTAGATATTTGCATTTAACATAAAAATAAATTCAAGAATTCCTACATATACTAAAATCATATCTTTCTATGGAAAACACAAGATTTAGAAGGCAGTTTAGTGTTTTTATTGATAACTAAGTAATCAGGTATAATTGGATTTTTGAATTAAAATTAACTATTTTTTCTTAGTTCAATATTTAAATAATTTACTACTAAGTATTCATATTGATAATCGATGCTAAAAAAAGCACGCCGCGTTATATGACGTCATCAGCATGCGTCCTTCAATATTCGGATACCTACCGCATTTTATAAAAGTCGGCGCGTACGGTGCGGGTGTAATGTGCGAGGTTTCATATGAGTTCATACAACGAATTATAAAATTAGGCGCGTACGGTGCGTACGGCGCATACGGTGCGGACAAATATGCGTTCAGCTTTAGACGCCGGCAACTATATACTTCAGACCGGAACGTAGCAGTGGGTGCACTTGTTACTAGCGACAGAAATGTACAGTTCAAAAACTGAGGAGCTTTCTATCAAGTACGAATATATTTGACCCGAACGTCTTTTTATGTTGTACGTTCACCGATTTCTCGGAAACAACTGAACCGATTTAAGAAGATTGTGAAGCTGTAAATATTCATACAAAAAGCATTAAAAGTTTTTCCCACCGTAAAAATAGTCTAATTTTCATAGTTCTTTGGAAATGTTGTAGATGTAATGAATATCTAGGTCCGTACGCTTTTATTTTAAATAAATAAGTTATAAGCATCTGAAATATCTATATATTTGACTTAAAAATTTCCTCGAGCGTTTATATATTTTTTAAATTGAACTAAAGTGAATTACTAAAAAAAAAAGATGAAAAGACGTAGATTAAGGTGTACTGAAAATTGTCTTATTTCGTAAAGGTTTAGGGGGGTCAAAACGTTATTGCCCGAAACAATATTTCAAAAAGGAAATATAGGCTATTGCTTCCAAGACTTGAAATTCTCTCAATCGCACGATATGGTGATACAGAGCGAGTGGTACGAAACAGAAAGTTTTTTACGTGGTAGAGCCATGCTGCATCTATATAAGTAGTATAGTTGTAGCACGAATGGGTCGGCGCGACCGGAGAAGGACCGCACTCTCACAGAATACCAGCGTAAAATAGCAGCTTAACACTGCTGTGTTTCGTATGATGAATGTAGAGAACTGGAGACCCTTAATACTGGAAAAGAAGCATTCCATCTTAGTCCTCATGGGTGACAACGCATCTGCATTTTGATTCTTTATTGAGGATAGATGTAGATGTCTATAGATCACAGCAACCACTTACCATCAGGTGGACTGTGTGCTCGTCTGTCACCCTATCCTATAAAAAAAAAACGATTTGAAAATACCTACACACGCAGCGTATCGGCACTTCACAATCCTCTTAAGCTATTCTTTTTTTAAACAGGTTATACCTACTTTAGTGGTGATCCATTAAATGAAGAAATCGATCCCTAACAGTAGAAAAATGATGGATAAAGAGTTTACTATACCTATTTAGACGTCATGTTAGTTGTTACCTTGAGCTTATGATATTCCTTAAGTTAGACCATAGTAAAATAACTTACAATAAAAACCGGCCAAGTGCGAGTCGGACTCGCGCATGAAGGGTTCTGTACCATTGTAAAATACGATTCTAGTGGGTAAGCCCCCATTAATTATTATTTGAACGAAGTTCCTTATCCGACGCTACGAATTTGGGGGATGGGGGCTAGGCGAGAAAAATGTTAGATTTTTCTGACACGATCCCTTCTGATGTAGTGTAGATGGCCTTGGCGGCTATGAGGAAGCGAGATGGAATAATATCCATCTCAACCGCACTTTTTCTTATCTTGCCATGAAAGAAATATTATTTTAAATGACGCTTCATTTTAATAGACGCTAGTAATTCATTTGTTTGTATTTATTAATCACTAATATAATACGTTTATCAATAATAATATATTACGAAAGGAACTTCGTTCCAACTGAGTGTTCCACGACATGCACGCATGTTTTTTTATTTCTATTTTTATTATTTGTTGTTATAGCGGCAACAGAAATGGACATTCTATGAAAATTTCAACTGTCCACCTGTTACGGATCATGAGATACAGGCCGCATTCAGACGGTCAGACAGAGGAGGCTTAATAAGGGTCTCATTGGTTTATTTTTGGGTAAGGAACCCCAAAAAGTAAAAACCGATTTCAAAACCTAAAAGAACACGTTATATCTTCTGAACCGTGTAGTGGCGGTGTGTCTCTATGGCAGAGGCCTATGTTCAGTGGACTTTAATAGGCTGTAATGGATGAATGTATAGAAAGAAGATAACGTAGCAGGAGCACATGACCCACTGAGAGGTGAAATTATTAAATCAACAGTAACATTACAACTATGGCAAAATCCCCCCTATTAGGTAATCTATGGGGGAGGCCTATGCAGTTCAGCAGTGGAGTTTAGCTAGATTGAAACTAATTTCATCCTTATAATTTTCAGGAAACTTGGCTATATTTTACGGAAGCAAAGACAATAACTACAAGGAAGAGAATTCTAAGAAATCCTTTGATGATGACGGCATACGTCTTTTTAGGGTGAGTTATATCGTGTTTATTTAATTTTTATCATGTAAGGCGGCGTAAGATTAAGAACCATAATGCAGTGGCGTGTCGTGTTATCGTTACTAGTAAAAACTTTTATTCGATCTGGATGCGCCAGTAACGTGAAGTTTCTTCGATAAAGATTTAGTGGACTGTGTTGGTACATATTATGTCGCAGTAAGATAGTTAAGGCCGTGATATAGTTATATCCCTAAGGATATAGCTATATGATAGCGTTATATGAAAGCGGTTCATAATTATCTTACTACACTAATCTAGTGATATAATTATAATTGTAGCTTGTTTGTAATTTGTTAGTCAAAACTACTTTTGACTTATACTTTTTGAATTTTTGAAATTGAAAAGTTAAATTCTTTAAATATTACATTTTATAACGTTATAATGTACGCGTCTTAAGGGTGGCCACATGGCCACCCCAGCCGCAACTTAACCTACTGTCAAAAAAGGAACATTAACAACAACACAACAGGAACATCAATATCGCAAAATTTGTTCCTCCTGTACATTCAGTTTACAATTATAATTATTTCCCCAGATTAGTCTCGTAAGATAGCAGTTATGAACCGATATATAGCCTTACTATCTTACTGCGACACATACAATAAACAGAGCGAAGAAAGTAGATGAGAATGCACTCTCTAACCTTTTGAGGACAGCGTTCCTCGTCGAGTATCAGGTAACACAACAGGCCCGCCAGGTGGTTCAGCATAATAATAATATACAAAGTTAAAAAAATTATTAATTACGGTCGAACTTCAACCACTAGACGACGATAAAAAATGTAAAATCGGACTATTGAAAAATAAACAGAATAATTTCTTTATAACAGAGTCAGAAGTCAGTGCTAAATCAAAGTGACGAAAGAATTAAAACACCGACTTTAGAAGCGTGGAAACTTTTTTATTTCAAAGTACTGTTTAGTTTTTTGAAATAAAAAAGTCTTTTACTTTTTGTTTTAAACTTTTACTTTATGAAGTGAAAATTTCTTTAGAATAGTTGTGATTTGAAACTCGAAGTAACGTAGAAACAACATTAAAAAGAGAATTATATACCATGTAAAATAAAATGTAAATTTACCTTTAAAGTTGGTAATAATAATTAAACCCTACACATCTATAAAAAAAATCACCGATAATTATCCTTCTGCACTCACTTAGAAGTATATATATGGACTGGGCATACCTACAGAATTAGCGTGACTACCTACAAAAATCTGGTGCATAAAATAGCCGCCTTTTATAGGGTTGTAACTCAGTAATATGGGCAGCTGGTGTCGATATTTTTACTAATATGAATTTGTTCTCATTTCATATAATTCAATATTACTGGGATGGAAATCCCTGATCCCACATTATAATCCCATATTATAGTATTTTTAACATAAAATAATAATGATTAGTTGAGTAAAAATTAAATCATAATTCATCATCTTCATTACAGCCTTTCGTAAGTCCACTGCTGAACATAGGCCTCCCCCAAGGAATGCCACAAAGCACGGTCCTGAGCCACCTGCATCCATCGACTTCCTGCATGTCTTACCAGGTCGTCACTCCATCTCGTGGGGGGTCGCCCTACACTTCGCCTACCGGTACGAGGCTGCCACTCAAGAACCTTTCTTCCCCATCGGTAGTCGGTTCTTCGAGCTATATGGCCGGCCGACTGCCACTTCAGCTTACTAATCCGTTGGGCTATGTCGGTTACTCTGGTTCTACTGCGGATATCCTCATTTCTAAGTTTATCATCCAGAGAAACCCCGAGCATAGCCCTCTCCATAGCTCGCTGAGCGACCTTGAGCTTCCTCATACCGCCAGCAGTGAAGGACCACGACTCAGATCCGTAAGTCATCACTGGCAACACGCACTGGTTGTACAATTTCGTTTTAAGGTTTTGAGGTATGTCTGACGAGAAGATGTGTCGTAGTTTCCCGAACGCTGCCCAGCCGAGTTGAATCCGTCGATTGACCTCTCGGTCGAAGTTGGACTTACCTAGTCGGACTATTTGTCCCAGGTAAACATACTCGTCAACAACTTCGAGCTTAGTGCTCCCAACAACTACCGGCATAGGTGTGACATGGACATTAAACATGATCTTTGTTTTGTCCATGTTCATCCTAAGACCTATTCGTTGGGAGACAATATTGAGGTCATTGAGCATGGTGCTTAGGTCCTCCAGCGATTCTGCCATAATGACTATATCGTCGGCAAATCGAAGGTGAGTGATGTACTCGCCATTGATGTTAATACCGTATCCTTTCCAGTCCAGAAGCTTGAAAACGTCTTCCAATGCAGCGGTGAAGTTTCGGGGATATAACATCACCCTGTCTTACACCTCTCTGCAATTGGATAGGTATCGTACTCTGGTTCTATACTCGGATAGCCATAGTAGCTCTACTGTACAAACACTTCAGCACTTCGATATACCAATAGTCAACTTGGCACCGCTGAAGGGACTGCAGCACCGCCCAAATTTTGACGGAATCAAAGGCTTTCTCATAGTCCACATACGCCAGACATAGTGGCAAATTGTACTCCTCGCACTTCTGTACAATTTGCCGAAGGGTATGTATGTGGTCTATGGTGCTAAAGCCCTTTCGGAAACCGGCTTGTTCGGGAGGCTGGAAGTCGTCAAGTCTGCGCACGAGATGATTCGTAATGACTCTCGAAAACATCACGTAGACTCGACTCAGTAGGGAAATAGGTCTGTAGTTTTTCAAGAGAGCGTTGTCACCTTTCTTGAAGAACAAGACCACCGCACTTCTGCTCCACGCCTCCGGTGTAACGCCACCATGGAAGACGGAATTAAAGAGCTTCTGAAGGACTTTAAGTACCGGTCTTCCACCCGCTTTCAGAAGCTCCGCTGTAATTCCATCCTCGCCTGGGGCCTTGCCGTTTTTAAGGTGCTGGAGAGCCATTCTAATCTCGCTCAGACTGACGTCCGGGATATCTTCGGAATAGTGGCGGATAAGACTCGCTCTTGAATCGTTACTCACACTTGCGTGTGGCTCCAACGATGACATGTACAGCTGCTCATAGAACCTCTCAATCTCACTCAAATTTTCAGGTGCCCCGGAAACGATGCTGCCACATTCGGTCTTCAGCTTTGACAGGTGGCTCTTTCTGGCAGACAGATCTCTGGCAAAGACTTTGGAGCCTTGGTTCCGCACGATCGCTTCTTCAATACAAGCTGTATTGAAGTTGTGTAAGTCCCGCCGCATGCATTTGGAGATCTGTCTGGTCAGTTGCCTGTTTGCTGTCAAATCTGTTGAAGAATGCAGCTTCATCTCCCGTCTAACTGCCATGAGATTGAGAGTGTGATCGGAGAGTTTTTGTGTTCGTCTGCGGCGGGTCTTGCAGAAATTAGCTCCGACCGCATGGACAATTTCCACGAGCTTGTCATTCATATCGTCCACTTTATTGCAGTCTTCTAGGCACTGAAAACGGTTTTGTAACTCGAGCTGAAAGGTTTCGGGACTTTGGAACAGAGCACGAGGGGGACGGAGCGTTGACTTCATTAGACGAGACCTCTCCAACTTAACGTTTAGGTTCAGTATGTCTCTAACCATTCAGTCATCGCTATCAGTTTTCACCCTCGCGATCACGGAGACATCACTGAACAGTTGTCTGGTCGTCATAATGAAGTCAATCTCATTTTTTGTGGAAACGTCGGGGCTCGACCAGGTCCACTTCCTGTGGGGCCGCTTCTGGAAGAAAGAGTTCATCATAAAGAGTCCCTCTTTCTCTATGAAGTCGGCCAGATGCTGGCCCCTTGGGTTCCGTTGCCCTATTCCGAAATTCCCTACTCTCAGCTCACCGTTCTTTTTTATGCTTAGTTTTGCGTTGAAGTCTCCCATTAACACCGTATTTGGAGGAATGTATGGCTCTAGAGATATCCTCATACATTTCCTCCACCTCCTCATCGGGGTGTGCCGAGGTTGGTGCGTAAACCTGTATGACCTTCAGGGAATACCGTTTGGTGATTCTGAGTATAAGGTACGCAACCCTCGTCGACACACTCTCAATCTTTACAACGTTGTTAACGAGAGACTTGTGGACGATAAATCCGACAGCTCCTTGGGACAGATGGTCACCCTCCCGGTGATAGAGCATGTTGCCGGATTCGAGGATTACCGTGTCCTCCCCCTCTCTTCGGACTTCGGATAATCCTATTATATGCCAGCGTAACTTGCCTATCTCTTCTTCCAGCTCCACGATCTTCTCGTCAGTCCTCAGGGTGCGTGCGTTGTATGTTGCCAGGTCGAGTCGTCTTAGGTGGCAACCGAACCTTCACTGGAGATTCTTAGCACCCCCTACCCCGCTGTTACCATGGTCGCCACCGCAGCCAGGAATAGCGGGGCCGCCGGGGACTGGGGGCCGTTTATTATTGTCATTGCTCATGGGGGGTATATTGCCATAGTTGCCACGCTTGGCGAGCGGGTTGGCAACCGCAGTTTTTTTATTCTATTTTTTGCTGTTATCCGGAAGATGCTGCTGCCCATCTCCTGCCTGTTTCCATTTGTCGCCTTTTACGACACCCACGGGAAGATATGGGGTAGTGGATATTCTTAACCGCCACTACACGGCGCTAAAAATAAAATAAAATGATATAAATCAACACCTATTTATTATTAATTGGTATATAAGAACGTTCTGCACATAATTGATCACAAATGCTAAGTTATACAAGCATGTTCGGTCCTGCTGGATATATATTTTATAGGTGGTAAAGCCAAGCTGCAGCTATATTAGTAGTATAGTTGTAGCACGAATGGGTCGGCTCGACCGGGTAAGGACCACGCTCACAGATCACAGAATACTAGCGTAAAATAGCAGCTTAAAACTGCTACGTTTCGTATGGTGAGTGTAGAGAACCGGAGACCCTTTTTACTGGAAAAGAGGCATTCCATCTTAGTCCTCACGGGTGACAACGCATCTGCATTTTGATTCGCAAGCGAGGATAGATGTAGATGTCTATGGGCCACAGTAACCACTTACCATCTGGTGGACTGTGTACTCGTTTGTCACCCTATCCTATAAAAAAAATCATATTTTATTTTTCATTCAGATTTTAAATGAAAACTATTATTATTTTTAGTAGGTACATTAATTTTTTTCATTTAAAATTCGAAAATCTGGCATGATCATGAAACGGTGGATGAAATGATGATTTATAAACTATTATTATTATTATATATTCATTTCTGAACAAATTTTTTTTTTATATTCTACTAAGCCAGCGCTTATCTACGATCCCACCTGATGGTAAGTGGTGATGTAGCCTAAGATGGTGAAGCGCACTGACTTAACAAAAGCCTATTCACTCTTGCCTTGAAGACACCCACACTGTAATCGGATGGAAAGACAGATGCTGGCAACTTATTCCACTCCTTTGCTGTACGCATGATGAACGGCGTGGCGAACCGTTTGGTTCGAATGCGTGGTAAGTCAACAACGAAAGGGTGGAGACTGGCCGAACGTCTGGTTGTCCGATGGTGGAAGGGAGAGGGTGGAATTAAATTATGTAATTCCTGCGCACACTCTTCGAAATGCATCCTGTAGAAAACCGAAAGGCTGGCTACTTTACGTCTGTGTTCGAGGCTGGTAAGATTGGATTCGGGTCACCAATAAGCTTCTTAGCACGTCTTTCCATTGAGTCCAGAGCTGCTAGGTGGTATTTTGCAGCACCAGCCCATATATGGCAGCAATATTCCATGCACGACCGGACTTGCGCTTTATATAAAGTAAGCAGCTGTCCAGAGCTGCTAGGTGGCATTTTGCAGCACCGGCCCATATATGGCAGCAATACTCCATGCTCGACCGGACTTACGCTTTATATAAAGTAAGCAGCTGCCCCGGCGTGAAGTATCGCCGCACCTTTGCAAGGACTCCCAGCTTCCTTGCAGCTGCTTTGGCCTTGGACTCAATGAACCGCCCGAAGTTCAAATTTGAGGATATTTCAAACCCTAACAACTGAAGGCGGTCGGTATATTTCAGTGATACATTTCGGAAAGAAGGATCCAAGGTGAGCTGGCTCTTTTTTGCATTGAAGAGACACTCTTGCGTTTTGGAGGCGTTGAACTTCAAAAGATTGGCATCGCTCCAATTGGAGACTGCCTGTAATGTGAGATTCACACGCACTACCATAGCTTCTTTTTCTTCTTTCTCTTTGATCCCGACTGGCACGAGGACTTGGTTGGTATCTCTCAACAACTGTGCTATCGTCTGCATACCCATAGATTGTAGTGTTATGCTACTTACATATCATTTTACACTATTTTAAATTCATTTTTCCATTCTGTTTTGATTTTCTGCATTCACCTCAAAACTGGATATTTTGTATCACCTTTATTTCCATAGGATCCTGTAACGTTCCTAAACCATAAGAACACAATAACAAATCATTTTCACTTCGTATTTTCACGCTATCAGCATTTTTGAATTTGGTGTCGGTGGAGTCTACCTTTTTCGATCTTTTATTTAGTTCTCCGTAACTCTGCAATTTCGGGCTTAGTGCGCGCTGGTGCGCTACTTTTTTTCCTATGTCAATATATATATATATATTCCTATATCTTGCCTGAAGTCGCCGGATCCTACAAGCCTCTGTCCTGCCTGAAGTCGCCAGATCCTGCAGGCCTCTGTCCTGCCTGAAGTCGCTGGGATCCTACAAGCCTCTGTCTTGCCTGAAGTCGCCGGATCTTGCAAACCTCTGCATTAACCTGAAGTCGTCGCCTAGACACACCCACGCCTTCACCTACGCTGTGCGTGCTCGCTCCAGGCGCTGCGAGCGCTTATTCCAGGCGCTGTGGGCCTACCACCAGCACAGCCTGTGTATAATCTGTGGGCAGCGAATACCACCACCAAAAGCGGTGTACCACTTGGATCTTCGGCCTCAGCTTCAATACTCATCATTTTTATTATCTTTTTTTTTAGAAATAATTGTAAATCACGTCACCCATCTTCATCGTCATACATCATTTTTTTTATATAAATCTGTAAACATCTTTTTTTTTATATTTTAAATAGATTATTTGTTGTGCCCTATTTTTGTTGTTTTGTTGCTGCTAGGTTAGGTTCCTTTTTTTGTTTTTAATTGTCGCTTCACGACAAGATACCGGGCATAAGCAGATCATTAATATGCAGCAGGAAGGGAGTTGCGGAGAGAACGGACCCCTGAGGAACACCAGCGTTAGTCGCCATAGGATCGGATGAGCAGCCATCGACGACCCGGAGAGACCGTTCACTCAGAAAGTTCTTTATCCATTCAATCAGACCAGGGGAGGAGCCGTACGCTGGAAGCTTACCCAAAAGGCTAGTGTGCCAAACTCTGTCAAAGGCTTTCGAGACATCAAGGGAAACAGCAAGTGCTTCCCCACTGTTCTCGAGTGCCTCGCCCCATACGTGTGTGGGATACGCTAGAAAGTCCCCAGCTGACCGATTTCGGCGAAACCCATATTGTCGGTCACTAAGGAGGTCATTTTGTTCTAGGTATGCCATTAAGCGGGCATTCAATATACGCTCCATAATCTTACAGAGTATGGAGGTAATTGAGATTGGACGATAATTGGCAGGGTCGGCGCGGCTGCCTTTTTTTGGAACAGGCTGCACGTTGGTCAGCTTCCATGATTTTGGCACTATTCCAGTACTAAATGAGAGGCGGAACAAGCGTGTCAATTTATTAAAATAATTTCTATACGACACTTTGTCACTGCTTTTTAACAGTTTGATCTAACACAAAACTTGGCGCTTAACATGGCGACGCAGTCACGCATGGATGAGCTAATGACGTCACACGAAAGTGTTACCAAAATAAACACTTGACAAACTGTAGTTGTCTCTCTTTTCTATTGCAGCTACTGCTTTGTTAAAACAGAGACAAAATTGTTTTTGACAAGTGTGTGTCGATATTAGTATATAACTATTATTTCTATAGTAGAATATGCCGTCTTCATAGGTATATTTATATCTCTATGTCCTTCTGTATCTATTCGTCTCATTCTCCCGAAGTTTAGTTTTCTGTAGGTTTCACTTCTACCGCGTGTGAACTGCACACGTGGTTTTTTTTTAAATTAAATGTTTAATTATTTGTCTAATTATGGGTAATACGTAGTTAGTAATGCCTGTAATAATGTCATATTACCACAATTTGTCGGAATCTGTCTTTCCATCCGAATATAGTGTTAGTGTCTTCAAAGCAAGAGTGAATAAGATTTTGATAAACTAAGTCAGTGTGCTTCACCATCTAGTTGGTAAACCCTTTGTCTGCCTAGGAACCCGCAATGGGAAATACTACCCTCTTCACTGCTGTGTTCGACGGTGAAGGAATACATCGTGAGGAAACCTACATGTCTGAGAAATAAGAAAAAAAATTTCGAAGACATATGAAGTTTTTTTATAGGATAGGGTGGTAACAAACGAGCGCACAGTCCACCTGATGGTAAATGGTTTCTGTAGCCCATAGACATCTACATCTATCCTCGTTTGCGAATCAAAATACAGATGCGTTGTCACCCGTGAGGACTAACATGGAATGCCTCTTTTCCAGTAAAAAGGGTCTCCGGTTCTCTACACTCACCATACGAAACACAGCAGCGTTAAGCTGATATTTTACGCTGGTATTCTGTGAGAGCGTGGTCCTTCCCTGGTCGAGCCGACCCATTCGTGCTACAACTGTACTACTAATATAGCGGCAGCATGGCTCTACAACGTGTCAAAGTTCGCCAACACGCATTGGGTCAGCACGGCGGACACTATCTTGCCCTAAAACCCTCTCAGAAATGAAAGGAGGCCTGTGCCCAGTTGTGGGACGTATATAGGCTGTAACTTTAACTTTAGCGTCTATTAAAATGAAGCGTATAGGTCTGAATATAGAGAGTCAGTATATTAACAAGCTGGAAGGCCTTCTATCTTAGTCCTCAGAGGTGACAACGTTTTTTGTAACCGTCTTCGTTTTATTGTAGGTAAGTTGGATGCAAAACTCCATGGACTTTAGTAGCCACTTACTATCAGGTAAACTGTAAGTTCGTTTATCACTTCAGTTTTATAAGAATACTAGCTGTTCCCCACGACTTTGCCCGCGTGTTATTTGTGGTTTTAATCTTTTTGCGCGGAACCCTAATCCTTTTTCTAAAATAAAGGTAACCTAAGTTGCTCCTTGTAACATCAGCTATCTGCCAGTGAAAATCACGTCAAAATCAGTCCAGCCGTTTCGAAGATTAGCCGGAACAAACAGACAGACGGACAGACAGACAGACAAAAACTTTAAAAATTGTATTTTTGTTATTAGTACCGTATACACTTTCATATGCATTTAGTAAAAAGCTGTAATTTTGACATTACAAACAGACACTTCAATTTTATTTATTTGTATAGATTTGGTTACATCACTACTTTCTAGCAGATGAGATAGCTGTCAAGAACTAGCTCATATTAGTAAAACAAAGTAAACCTTCCAGGTCGAAGGCACAGAACTAGGCGTAGACATGCGTACCACTCAAGTTCCTGAATCGGCCGACGTTCTAGAAGACGACGACGTGTACATTCTAGAAACACCCGAAACCATCTACGTGTGGCATGGAAAGGTAAATAAGATGACTTCGTTAATTTTACACGATTGATTTTCATTACAATTAAAGAAACAACGCAAAAAAGTGAAACTCATTTCTAATAACAACTCCTAATAATAAAAATAAGGTTGCCAAACCGCCTTCCAAGCATGGTAACAGTGGCAATATCTTATGTGGCAATCTATAGGCAATCTTACCAATGGTTCAGAAACCACCTTTGTCTTGGGAAGAACCAGCAAGAAACACAGTGGGACGTTTATCACCCGACTGCCCCAGAAGGAGTGAGTGACTTAGGCTATATTAAATCCCTTAGACAGCCTTAGCGAGAGACCACAATGCACGTGTTCCCGAAGGGAGGCGAACTAGTTCCTCGCCAGTTCTGCCGATGTGCTCTGACTTTGCCTTGGCAATGACACTTTTGAAGGATCTGGAGGCGGAATTATATTAAGAGCGCTGGTGTTTACATCCCGGGACGTTGATGCGTCAGCCCAGGCCCGGTAGCACTCCCGCTTATAGCGTGATGCATTCTTAGAGGAATGGCCAAAACATTGCTGAGTTCTGCCTCCGATAGGCACCACAGATGATGGAATAAATAATTCCATTCCAGTATTTTATTTATATAGGTATTGCATTTGCAAAAACATAGCCCAATGGATTAGTAAGCTGAAGTGGTCATATAGCTCTAAGAACCAATAACCGATGGGGAAGAAATGTTCTCGAGTGTCAGCCTCGTACCGGTATGAGAAATGTAGGGCGGGCACCCACTAGATGGAGTGATGACCTGGTAAGACATGCAGGAAGTCGATGGATGCAGGTGGTTCAGGACCGTGTTTTGTGGTATTCCTTGAGGAAGGCCTATGTTCATCAGTGGACATGTGAAGGCTGTAATGATGATGATGATGGTGATATGCAAATACAAAAAGAGAGTAGTAAACGCAACGTACTGACGGGAATAGTGTAGGTAATTGAGGTGCTCTTCAAACTATGTATAGTATACGGCAACTAACTTGGCAAGGTTTTGGCGTAGTGGGGGAAAGTTTGGGCATGTACAACGGGACGTACCAATCGCGCGCCCAGAAGTCGACTGGCCGACCAATCGCGCGCTCGGAAGTCGACTGGCCAACCAATCGCGCGCTCGGAAGTCGACTGGCCAACCAATCGGGCGCTCGGAACGATGCTACTTCGTTCCCGCGCCCCGCTTGGTAACCAAAGTGATCTAAAAAACGACTTCTGCGCATATAACGAATCTTGCCAAGTTAGACGCCGGCAACTATAAGACACATTTTATTATGCGGATCTTAACTAATTATTTTTTAACATCTTTAATTTGTCTTAATCGTCACATTTGGCAGTTGGATTGAGGATTGCAGCCAGACGTGAGCACCCTTGACGTCGCTGCCCGGAGCCAGTCTGGGGATTTTATGTCTGGCGTTGACGAGATAATTGTACCGCCATCTATCGCAAGCCATGAGATTCCATTGTCACCTCTTATGACACGCTTTGGATGAAATGGGGTCATCATCATCATCATTACAGCCGTCCATAAGTCCACTGTTGAACATAGGCCTCCGCCAAGGAATGCCAAAAAGCACGGTCCTGAGCCACCTGCATCCATTGACTTCCTGCATGTCTTACCAGGTCGTCACTCCATTTAGTGCGGGAACGCCCTAAACTTCGCCTACCGGTACGAGGCTGAAACTAGAGAACCTTTCTCCCCATCGGTTATCGGTTCTTCGAGTTATATGGCCGGCCCATTGTCACTTCAGCTTACTAATCCTTGGGAAATTGGGTGATTGATTATATACCAGCGTAAAATAGCAGCTTCATGCTGCTGTGTTTCCTATTTTTTTATAGGATAGGGTGACAAACGAGCACACAGCCTAACTGATGGTAAGTTGTTGCTGTGGCCCATAGACATCCACATCTATCCTCGTTTGCGAATCAAAATGCAGATGCGTTGTCACCCGTGAGAACTAAGATGGAATGCCTCATTTCCAGTAAAAAGGGTCCCCAGTTCTCTACACTCACCATACGAAACACAGTGTTAAGCTGGTATTTTACGCTGGTATTCTGTGAAAGCGTGGTCCTTCCCCGGTCGAACCGACCCACTGGTGCTGCAAATATACTACTAATATAGCTGCAGCATGGCTCTTGTAACATCCTATGGTAAGTGTAGAGAACCGGAGACCCTTTTTACTAAAATACTGTCTTAGTCCTCAAGTGTGACAACGCATCTGCATTTTGATTCAAATTCTAGAATAAATGTAGATATCTATGCGAAACAGCACCCACTTGTCATTACGTAGACTGGATGTTGGTCATCCTTCTTCTATATAAAAAATGGTAAACTGACTAAAATGGTTACTTTGAAAATTTGTCTATACCCTCGACAGGCTGGTAGGTGAGCAAAGAAACGATATATGAACATTATGGTACTCGTAATGCTGCTTACATCACTAGTATATTCTATATGATTTGGCTGTTTCGTTTTTAGATGGATTTTGATTGAGCGGGTGGCTCTGAATGGATTAGCTCTACCACATAAAAAGTACTGGCAGCTTACAAGTGGGGGCTACACGTCTAGAGTAGCACCTCCGTAAATATCCAGTGGATGGTAGCAGGTTGCTCAAGCCGTGCTTAGGTGGCAATTTTTGTGGGTGGGCCTATCTTTTCTTATACAATTAGGGTGGCAAATAAACACACAGTCTACATGATGGTAAGTGGATACTGTGCCCATAGACATTTACCTCTATTCTCGATTAATAATCAATGCGTTATCACCCCTGCAACTAAGATGCAATGTCTCGTTTCCAGTAAAAAGGATCTCCAGTTCTCTACACTCTGCTATTTCACGCTGGTACCTATTCTGTGAGAGCGTGGTTCTTTCCATGCTAGAGACAACCTATTCGTACTGCAACCATAATATAGCTGCAGCGTGCCTCTACCACTTAAAAATGGCAATGCTGTTTACATCTCGGGTGTAAAGGATTTGGCTGCAGTGCTTTATCTGCCGACTTTCAAAAAGGAGCCGGTACTCAATTCGACTGTATGTTTTTTTTTTTTTCGTTTTTTTTTTATGTGTGTTACCTCAGAACTTTTTTCTGGGTGAACCGATTTCGATGATTCTTTTTTTATTTGAAAGCTGGTACTTCTCGTGTGGTCCCATATGAATTTGATCAAGGTCAGACCAATAGTTTTTAAGTTATTCTTAAATAACTTATATTGAAGTCGGCTGTACAAAATTTTTAATTTTAAATTATGATGGATTTCTTTTGGTCGCATTATGATCGCACTGATTGGCGACAACAATAATACCATAATATAATCACTAACCTATATATAATTGCTGCTAGGAATCTCTACCTGAAGAGCAAGAGACAGCTATGGCCTTCGTGAAGGAAGTGTTCGGTGAAGACAAAGAAATCGTTACTTTAGAGCAAGGGGAAGAAACTGATGAGTTCTGGGAATCGTTGGGTATTTTTATCTGCATGTTTATTTTTATTTTTATTATTATTGTTAATGTCTTCCAGAAAAAAATCGGTCACATTAAATAAATAATGTCTTTAAATAATAATTTAATATCTTTAAATTAGCCCAGTCCTACCGAAGACTAGCCATATTTCTCGTCATTACATTGATTCATAATTAAAATTAATTTAGTTTTAACAAAATAATGATTAATTCATGGTCTATTATGCGATATTTGATTCATATCATTGTTCCCATTCAATATTGATTGGCAACATAAAATAGATTCTGATCTTTTTCTACGATCGAGTAGACTTCAAAATTTTATAAATGCAGTTCTGATAATGATTAATACTATACATGTAATAAAACATATTATTTACAATTAAACATTTTTTTTACTGTATTTGTTAATTTAAATGTTTTTCTATTCTATGAATAAAATATGCGGCGACATTAAATTTGATGTCGCGGCAGCGCCTTTGACAAGATGCGGCGCGTGCAAAGGCGGCGCGACACAAAGGCGACCGTATCTAAGCGAATAGACTATACATCACCCAAGAGCTCCTGCCGCATCCAGGATCAAGATTTTGGGCAAACACAACTCTAACTTACATCAAACACGATCCGACTACTGAACTGAACTGAACCAATAATTGATACAGGTGGCGTTCCAGAAGAAAAAGAAGATGCGGCGGGCTGGCGACTGGTGGTGAACAGGCGCATGACTACACCGCATACCCTCACAGCTGTCACTGTAAGTGTGACTGGGAAGATTGGCTTCGAAGATTTGCCACCCGACTTCACACAACAGGTTGCTAAAGAAGATCTTTAACTTATTTATTTTATTTATAACACAACCTTTTTACATACCTATTTTCATTTGTGGCGGCGCTGTCGTCGCGCCACAAGCGAAACACATCGAAGCCTAAATCGCGCTAACAAAGTTCCGAAATTAAAGCAGTATATATAGAATAGCTCCGAACTACCACTCGGAGCGTTAGCCGCTCCCCGGACAGAACACCTTGCCCGGTGGGAGATCTCCCCTTTTCCTTCCACCCGCCACGCATTGATTCCCTAGTCCCCGAGCTAGTATAACTGTGTTTCAGGAACCAGTTCCTCCCCTTAAAGTATACCTAGACAAAAGGTCATTTTCTATATAGTAAAGTTAAATCCTATTAAAGTCACTGCTGAACATAGGTCTCCTCCATAGATTGTCTCATAGGGGGGATTTTGTCATAGCTGTAATGTTACTATTGATTACAAACAGATTATTTGTGTAGAATTATAAGCAAGATGCTGTTGCCCGTATTCTGTTTTTTTTTTTCATAGAATAATGGTGACAAACGAGCACACAGTTCGCCTGATGGTAAGTGGATGCTGATAGACATCTACATCTATCCTCGATTAAGAATCAAAATGCAGATGCGTTGCCTCCCCTGAGGACTTAGATAGAATGCTTCGTTTCCAGTAAAAAGGGCCTCCGGTTCTCTACACTCACCATACGAAATACAGCAGCGTTAAGCTGCTATGTTGGTATTCTGTGAGCGTAGTCCTTCTCGTATGCGAAATATAAATGATTTTGATCGACCGCATGTCTTAGAAGTCGAGGGTGCCTGGTTGATTACACCGCGGACCAAGAGTTCGGATTGCAGCTGGTGTTGGAGCAAAATCACAAATTGACGTTTGAATTAAGAATTTTCGGTCGCCTGTTACAACATCGACGGGAAGAAATTGAATGCCTTATTCTTTGACCGTCGCTTAGATGAAAATCACAGTCTTATGCCCAAATACTCAATATTAAAACACTACTCAATTTTAAGAAGCCGTTAAGTCTCGCGCTATCTCTGCCACTTTAAGTGAAAGTGACAGAGATAGCACGAGACTTAACGACATCTTAAAATTGAGTGGTTAAAGTGATAGACTAATAAGTAGCGTTTGAGTATTCGGCCATTAGCGTAACAAAATAATTACTCTGTCCTTGAAGAGTCCGATTGTTCATATTTAATGTTTGCTGTGGGATGGATGCGTTAAACTAGGACTTTACCACCAGGTGGGACTGTAGTAAATGACTGACATATAAAAATATACATTTGTGCGCATATAATTAGTAAGCCAAATAACGAAACTTTTTTCAGGATTTGTCCGACGATGGCGTGTATATTTTGGACGCAGGTGAGGAACTGTACTTCTGGCGCGGGAAGAATACACCAGAAAGGGTCAAGATGGCGAAGAATGAAATCATTCAGGTGTAAAACTTAAAGAGTTTATGTATAATATTAAGGTTTTAGGACTAATATTTCAGAAACCAGTATTTACCTAATTTTGTATATTGCTCGTATATAGTATTCAGTATTCACCTTATATTTCTGCCGCTGAATGAGGGCTAATAATCTGCCACTCACCAGATGTCGCTAGTTGGGACTGAGGTAAAGTTTTTTTGTTACACAATGTCGGTTAATTGAGAAATTAGTTTTAAATAATACCTTATCATTGTCTAGAGTAGAGATGAGCGTTAATTCAACGAACTGGTTGAATCAACCGTTGACCTCCTGTCAACGTATTAACGTTAACCGTTTATGAATCAACTCGTTGAATTCGTCAAAAACGTTTATGAATTTAACTCGTGCGTCTCGTTAACGCAACGAACTGAGCAAATTAAAAAAATTACGTTGAAAATAACGTCATAGATTGTAAATTGTGACTGCATTTCGAAAAAATAAAAAAAAGCCAAAAAAATATTTAAAAAAGCTAAAAAACATTGTAAATAATTTATTTGCGCACATAGAATCATATGATCTTTTAAATACGCCTGAGTAGAATATGGTTTATAGCTAATTCTATTCAATCAGTCTTATGCCTAAAGAAAAAGTATAAAGGGAAAGTCATCTAAGTAGAACCAGTACATAATCAAACGTTTTCCAATACATACATTGAATCAAATTGTTTTTAAAATTGAACGTCGTAGCGTTGAATTAAAACCGTCCAGCGATTTAACGGTTTACGTTGCAAGTTGACATTAGTAGTACGTTAACTCGTAGAATTGAACTAGTTGGTTAACTAGTTAACAAACAAAAATCAACGTTAACGTTTCGTTAAGGGAAAAACTCAACGACCCATCGCTGGTCTAGAATACTAAATTAATACACAACACAATGCGTCATTGGTTTGATTTTTAGTTTGTTTGCACTTTATAACTTTTTTTTATATTTTTTACTTTTAGTAATATTTATAGTTTGGTTTATTAATTTCTAATCTAATTAATTCTACCCACCGATCCAATAACAAAACACAAAAAATATTTATTATTATTACGGCCCTCAGCTGCCACGACAAAGGTCGACTGGGCTAGGGGCCATAGTAACCCACTCGACGAGCAGCCGAGGGTTCGGGCCCAATGGCCTATGGATAATTCTCAAATAAGGGCTAACAAGCAAACACAACTTACCGAGTTCCGGAAGTAGGGTTGACCACAGGGTATCAGTCAGGTGGTAAGTGAGGTGTATGTAAGTAGTGTGCGAAAGTGTGTAGATGTAACCTGACGTCCCGCTGATCTGAGCGCAGACCCACAGGCGCTGCTTTTCTCCAAAATGTGCAATCCCTCCAGTGGGCGTTCAACAATTGAAACCTTCTGCTTTTATTTCACTATATTATTTTATCAACTTTATTGCACATTTAATTAACTTCAAATTCAACCAAATCGACGTTAATCGAACTTAAAACAAGTGACACACTGCACAACTTAAGAACGTTCGGTCAAAGTTCAATGTCCCATGTTCACTTAGCACAAAATTATAATCGAGCAGAAACGCGATCTCCTCTCGAGTCACAAACCTTTAGCGTTCCAACCGACAACGCCAATGTCTTATTACGATATCAAAATGAGGTACAAACAACTCGTCGATGCAAATTAATGGCAATAGAAGTTAATTTAATCACTAAAAACTCCCGAGACGCCTCATTGTCACGTAAAACGCACGAGATTAGACAACGCTATTAGAGGCAGTCGTCACGCGAACAAACTATACGAGAGTAATTTCTAGACTTACACGGTGGCCGCGCCCAACTCACTCAAAACTATTACAACAAGAATCACAATAAGACCAGCCCCGTTGTCACATATACGAACGAAATAAGGCAACTCAAAGGAGGCGGTTCCGAGCGTAAACTTTAGATCGTCTTATCGACTCGGCGTACGCGCACAATTAACCACACCGGCCGCACCCAACCAACTCACCTCGTCCACGCGTCGAGCATCCGAGCGGTGAGCCGAGCGCCGCTCGCGGGAGAGGGGCCCGGAGGTGACCTTTAAATTCCATTGAATGAACGCGCCGAGCGCGCGTCCTGAATGCAAATTTCAAATGCCCATATTTGGCCTAAACATAAACTATAACTAATAATACGGAAAGAAACATTAAAGTTTACATTTTCCTAAGAAATTATCGTCCTGCACTATTTTTTTATAGGATAGGGTGACAAACGAGGATACAGTCCACCTGATGGTAAGTGGTTGCTGTGGTCCATAAGCATCTACATCTATCCCCGTTTGCGAATCAAAATGCAGATGCGTTGTCACACGTGAGGCCTAAGATGGAATGCCTCCTTTCCAGTGAAGAGGGTCTCTGGTTCCCTACACTCACCATACGAAACACAGCAGTGTTACGCTGCTATTTTACGCTGGTATTCTGTGAGAGCTGGGTCCTTCCCCAGTCGAGACGACCCATTCGTGCTACAACTATATTACTAATATAGCAGCAGCATGGCTCTACCATGTGGCAAAAAAACTATGAAATCTGTTAAATGTTTTACCTCATTGTAAAGTGGCGCCGCCCTGGTGGATGACCTCATTGCAGTGCTTACACTGTTGTAGTCCATTCTGAAGGATATAAAGAGCCAGTATAATCACAGACTGTCAGGCATTCCATTAATCCTTAGAGGTTCCTGTAGGACGTTCCTGTAGCTTTCTTTGCTTGAAGCGACTTTACATAATCCCGGCTAGCATGGGCGGGGGACAAAAATTTTATCCCCCGATTATATCCACTGACAAGAGATAAAATTATCTTGTTATAGAGAAGTATATCCCCGTTTGACATAACGAGTAGACATATATCCCCCGTCCATGCTACGGAGCCAAATTAAAAGTAAAAAATTATGCTTTTTTGACATTTGAAAGGCACAATTTTATCCTAGTTCATTGGATGTGGGTTGAAGTTATATTCATACAAAGAAATCTATCTAAGTCTAAGTTTATCTCTCAATTTATCTACTATGGATATTATAAATACCTGTGTGCCCATGCTCTAAGGGTGGATAAAACTAAGCGAGGGATAAACATTTTCTCCTTTCCCCGGGGATAAAATTGTCTCCTGCCCGTGCTAGCCCTGCAGGTGGACTGTAAATACCTTTGCCACTTCAGTTTTATATAATAATAAAAAAAAACTTATATAATGTATAATAATAGAATCAGGCGTTACTTTGCGGAAATCCATTATATAAAAGCTTTTAAAAAGATACTTCGCAAACATCCGCTCTATAAAATAAAATGATGTGTCTTACCCATTATGAAGAGCACTTCCCGCCCTCCTAAAACAAGCACTTTAAGCTTACCTGGAGTAGTTAACGAGTGTATTATTCATAATATGAGAGGGCCATATCCACTGCTGGTCAGTGGAGATTAAGACCAATCTTACGCTCACCAGATGTCGCTAGTTGGGACTGCGGTGAACTTATTTGTTACGCAGGTATTCATGCAGTGTCATCATTGTTGAAAAGTTGCTAATTAATTATAAGTTTTTAGGTTTCTAGTGTATGTATATACACAAAACAATGCCTCAGTGCTGTATTTTTGTTTTCTACACTTTTTAATTTTTCTCCTTTTAATCTAATAATATGAAATATATATATATATATATTGTGTATAGATGTCTATGTATGTGTGTATATGTATATTTATATGTATATACATATAAATATACATGACGACTTCTAGCCTCTCGAACAAGCCGGTTTCCGAAAAGGCTTTAATACCATAGACCACATACATACCCTTTGGCAAATTGTACAGAAGACCGAAGAGTACAATCTGCCACTTTGCCTTGCGTATGTGGACTATGAGAAAACCTTTGATTCCGTAGAAATTTGGGCGGTGCTGCAGTCCCTTCAGCGGTGCCAAATTGACTGTCGGTCGGTATATCAAAGTGCTGAAGTGTTTGTACAGTAGAGCTACGATGGCTATCAGAGTACAGAATCAGAGTACGAAACCTATCCAACTGCAGAGGTGTTAGACAGGGTGACGTTATATCCCCGAAACTCTTCACCGCTGCATTGGAAGACGTTTTCAAGCTGCTGGACTGGAAAGGATGCGGTATTAACATCAATGGCGAGTACATCACTCACCTTCGATTTGCCGACGATATAGTCCTTATGGCAGAATTGCTGGAGGACCTAAACACTATGCTCAATGACCTCAATAGTGTCTCCCAACGGATAGGTCTTAAGATGAACATGGATAAAACAAAAATCATGTTCAACGTCCATGTCACACCTATGCCGGTAGTTGTTGGGAGCACTAAGCTCGAAGTTGTTGACGAGTATGTTTACCTTGGACAAATAGTCCGACTAGGTAAGTCCAACTTCGACCGAGAGGTCAATCGACGGATTCAACTCGGCTGGGCAGCGTTCGGGAAACTAAGACACATCTTCTCGTTAGACATACCTCAAAACCTTAAAACAAAATTGTACAACCAGTGCGTGTTGCCAGTGATGACTTACGGATCTGAGACGTGGTCCTTCACTGCTGGCCGTATGAGGAAGCTCAAGGTCGCTCAGCAAGCTATGGAGAGGGCTATGCTCGGGGTTTCTCTGCTTGATAAACTTAGAAATGAGGATATCCGCAGTAGAACCAGAGTAACCGACATAGCCCAACGGATTAGTAAGCTGAAGTGGCAGTGGGCCGATCATATAGCTCGAAGAACCGACAACCGATGGGGAAGAAAGGTTCTCGAGTGGCAGGGTGTAGGGCGACCCCCACGAGATGGAGTGACGACCTGGTAAGACATGCAGGAAGTCAATGGATGCAGGTGGCTCAGGACCGTGCTTTGTGGCATTCCTTGGGGGAGGCCTATATATATATTCAGCAGTGGACTTATGGAAGGCTGTAATGATGATGATGATGATTTATATACAATATTTTTTTCAGCGCATTCTATTTTGATTACTGCTGCACCGCCTCTTGTTTGTATATCTCTGTTTAGCCTAATGGTTGACTGGGAGAGCATGCCCTATGGCATTAAGTCCGTCATATGTACAACTTTGTGCATGAAAGATTAAATAAATAAATAAATAAATATATAAAATACAACTAATATTTCAGAAAGGAACATTAATTCTCTACACTCTCTTAACAAATTAACTTCCCACGCTATGTAATCTGTTGAATATTTCACCTCATTTCTAAGTGTAACGCCGCCCTGTGGGAGATAAAGTCGTGAACAGTCATTCCAGCGAACGACGATTGATTTGTTCTTTTTATTTGTTTTATTTCCAATTCTATTTCTTACCAGGAGTACATAGCTGACGATGGACTTGGCAGGACAGTCGACACGGCTATCGTAATGTCTGTGAAACAAGGCAAAGAGCCGGTTGTATTCAAGAAACTGTTTCCCAGTTGGGAAGATGACATGTGGGAAGTAAGTGGCTTTTTTTCCAAGATAAACACCGTGTCTTTGTGTTTGGTATAGCAAAGTGTGTGGGACAAGAGTAGGAAGGGTGACTTTCATCTGGGAGATGAAAGTCACCGCTCCGTCTTATTTTTTTTTTAATTTATTACATTACCAGTATCCATATAGAGCTTTAGCCGAAATTTAAAAAAAGGTTACATTTAAAGCTTCCCGTCTTATCTTTTTAATTGCTGCCAGTGAAAATCTTAAAAAAATATTTTAGAAGCAGGTACTGAATAGTTTTGATTAAAATAATATTACCATTGCAGAGATTAACATACTTGCTTTATACTTACGAATATAAGAATGGACTTTTACTTCAAATTGAGAGGGGGAGGGGGGGGGGAGGAATATAGAGGCAACATTTTTGGCTCGGACGACAACCACCAATGCTACGCCACTATATGATAATACTGAGTTCGTGTGCATAATTTTAGTGCTGACATACCACAATACTCGGTGATAAAATTAAAGATTATTGAGGCTCACAAACGCACTGGAGCAGCTTATTTTTAAATATAGGGGTGATACGCGTATGGTGAGCGCACAATCTATCTGATGGTAAGTGATTGCTGTGGCCCATAGACATCTACATCTATCCTCGGTTAAGAATCAAAATGCAGATGAGCTGTCACCCGTGAGGACTAAGATGGAATGCCGCGTTTCCAGTAATAAGGGTCTCCGATGCTCTACACTCACCATACGAAATACAGCAGCATTAAGATATTTTAGGCTGGTATTCTGTGAGAGCGTATTCCTACCTCGGCCGAGCCGACCCATTCATGCTACAACCATTATATAGCTGCAGCAAGGCTCTACCATGTCTGTTTTGAAATCGGGGCGAAGTCCGATCTTGGCTCTTGAAATCCGGTCAAGGCCGGATTAATTCGGTCAGTCGGTTTCGGTCAGGTGATAATTCTACCTGCTTTAGACTTTTTTTATAGAATAAGGGTGATAAACGAACACACAGTCCACCTGTTCGTAAGTGGATGCTGAGGCCCATAGACATCTACATTTATCCTCGATTAAGAATAAAAATGTAGATGCGCTGTCACCCCTGAGGACTGATGGAATGCCTCGTTTCCACTAAAACGTGTCTGTTCAAGGACTGTTTTCTCTGACAGGATAATATATCAGAAATTTTCTGTTCAACTGCTCCTATGCGAATTGATGGACTCGGCTCTAACACACCTGTTTCCACAAGATATTTTCTTTCATCGCTGATGAAAATCAGTACTTTACATTTCGCAATCAACAATTTCAGTAGTACCAGCACAATGCGAACTCCGGATTACCGCCATAGACTAACTAGCGATTCTAGAGAATACTCTCGCGTAATATTAAAAACCGACAGAGTGCGAGTCGTACTCGCGCATGAAGGGTTCCGTACCATCGTAATACACGTTTCTAGTAGTGGAACCCCTTTTAATTTTTAATTTATTTTTATTATTTGTTGTTATAGCGACAACAGAAATATACATTCTGTGAAAATTTCAACTGTTCACCTATTACGGATCATGAGATACAGCCCGCTGACAGACGAACAAACGGACGGACAGACGGATGGATAACGGAGGCTAAGGCCTGAATTCCTCATACGCTGACGTCGGTTGCGTACGGTCGGTCGCGTACAGCGTGCGGTAAACTACGTGCCGCTGTCGTCAGCGTCGTAGTGTTATATAGAACACAATGTACTACAGTACTAATGTACGCGCTACCGACGTACGCGACCGACGTCAGCGTAGGAGGAAATCAAAGCCTTAGTAATAGGGTCTCATCGGCTTAATGACGTAATAATTTTGACATATGTTTTTTTTTTTCCAGAACCAAACATCCTACGAGGACATCAAGAACAAGACAAAAGCAGCTAATTCTAACTAATACATTAAAACTTTATTTATTTATTTAACTAAACAAAATATTTATAATTCATATGGTATAAAAATAAAAGATTTTACATAATCTTATATTTTATGTTTTGCAAAAATAAAATCATCGCTTCTTCAATCAATCCCTTCACAATAGTTGTAAGTCAGGCCGTTAAAGTGCAAAGTTAGACTTGGGTCTTTCTCGTTGTAGGGACAATTTGCCTTCCTCAAGGTTTGCACGTTGCCTAGCGATCACAGTTGAGACAAAAGATGGGTTAGAATCCGCCATTCGTCGACCGACTACAATCATGAAACACTTCTAACACAGCATTTCCAGCTTACCATTAGTGGTTAAAGGGTATGTATATTAGTAGTTTTAAATACAGTGTTTTATTTTATATTATCTAGGTCTCCTCTATGTGGCGGTGTTACAAATATGGTTAATATTTTTTACAGCTAAAATAAACAATATAATAATTTAAAATTTAAAATTTTGTACAGCCGACTTCAATATAAGTTATTAAGAATAACTCAAATAACTCAAAAACTATTGCTCTGACCTTGATCAAATTCATATGGGACCACACGAGAAATATCAGCTTTCATATAAAAAAAGAATCATCGAAATCGGTTCACCCAGTAAAAAGTTAGGAGGTAACACACATAAAAAAAAACATACGAATCGAATTGAGTACCGTCTCCTTTTTGGAAGTGGGCAGAAAAATGAATAAAATTAACCATATTGAATAAAATTATCATATTATACCAATCCATGATTTCATAACTTCAGGTCATCTGCGTCTATTTTACGTCCCATCGTGAGAGTCAATTAATTTTCTGCCGACTTCCAAAAAGGAGACGGTACTCAATTCGACTGTATGTTTTATTATGCGTGTTACTACTAAATTTTTCTCTAAGGGATTCCTTTGGACCTAGGTTATAATTTGCTCTAATGTACGCTAGATCTTTTAAACTACGCAACGGATTTTGATGCGGTCTTCATCAATAGACAGAATGATTCAAGAGGAAGGAAATTGTATAATACGTGCATATTATATAATTCTCCTGTCCATATGTATGTGACTGAACTCCTCCTAAACGGCTGGACCGATATTGATGAAATTTTGTGTGTGTGATTAAGTTGATTAGAGAATGGCTTAGATTCACAATTGAACCCGGTAGATAGCGTTGTTGTCGACATCCAGAAATCAACCGTGCGAAGCCGTGTATAGTATACAGGCTGTCCCAGAAGTCGGCGTCAAACAGGAATCGGGTAAATAGGTCAAGTCATTATAGTTAACATAAAAATTATAAACAAAAATTTCGTTATGTATTTTAAAAATTACATTATTTATAAAAAAAATCGAGAAAATCTACAGCGTGTGACGATCTTTTAACTCCTGTTACTACAACTTTTTTTATTTTCTTTTTATTATGTAATCCTGAATAATGCTTCTGAAAACTGTTGCTTAGAATATACAGCCAACTGCTCCAGTCCAGAAGGAATATAGGCTCCGTGGCGCATTGGCTTAGCAATAAGTTGCAGCGCAAAGGGCCGCGGGTTCGAATCCCGCACGTAACAATTATTTCTATGACCTAGAAATAATTGTTCCGGGCCTGGATGTCTGTCCTTGTGAAATTTATGTATGTTAACTGCCCCGTTATAGTAACGGGTAACGAGGTAACGTTTTAAAAAACGGAATAAAAATGTAATTTTTTTCCCAACCACGTATTCAAAATTAATACTTTGGCCAGTTTTAAATAACTGTACCGAAAAAAATGTACTACACGAGTTTGACAAGCAACTTTAAAAGTTGGCGCATTTAATAAGGATTCCAAAATGGTATAACACTTACAAGATTATTTGTTAAACTATGAAAAAAATCTTTTTAAAGAAACATTTAAAGAAATATATATATATATATATCTGTCTGTCTAAAATGATAAAAAGTATATATTAAGTACATAATATGCTCGTTTTTGGAACTGAATTTGACTGGCAGTGACCGTTTAAAACTTTTCGATAGAGCATAACCCTCCTTCAGGAGCATCGATGAACATCATCTATCAAGGTATTTTATTGTAATGGAAATGGAAATAAAAGACATTAAAAAAGACAATTTAAAACAAATTTCTATAATAACAATATTTTATTTCTATAATACCAATGTTTTATTTCTATAATAACAATAATTATAACTATTTAAGCCTCTTACATTACAAATTAAATTATACATTTTTTACACCTTAATTATGAAAGCTCTATTCTATATATATTTTCTTTTTTTATTGACACAAAGTAAGGTTTACATTATTTAATTTTAAGACATTCGAACAAACGATATGAGTTAAAACTTATACAATTTTATGCAACAGCGTCTAAACTAGACCCAGCCTGTATCTTAGACACTAGTCTCTTCCAATTACAGACACCATTATTAGCAGATAAAAAAAATTAAAAAAACAAGCGTGTGTGTCGTGAACACTCGGTTGGAACGAAGTTGCTTTCGTAGTATATTATTATTGATAAACGTATTATATTATTGATTAACAAATACAAATAAACGAATTACTAGCGTCTATTAAAATGAAGCGTCATTTCAAAATAAAATAATATTTCTTGCATAGCAAGATAAGAAAAAGTACTAGAGAGATGGATATTATTCCATCTCGCTTGCTTATAGCCAAGGCCGTCTACACTAAGTCAGAAGGGGTCGTAACGGAAAAATCTTACTTACGCCCAGTTTCTGAAGTTCCTAGTTATAGTCTGCGCGGAAGTGCTAGTCATCGCCTTAGGTATGTGAGCGGCAGGACGGGGGAGGTAGACAAACATCAAGCTGACGCAGTCTGCCGTCAACCGCCGCGACGGTTACACGATTCAGTTGTACGCGACAGTTTTCTCCAAAAATACATGAGATAAATATTCTAAGATGGGTCCGCCAATACCACGACAAGTGAAAAATATTATTTATAATGTACATAGTTTTTTTTTAAGACGAAAGGGCGACAAGGAAAGTATGGAACACAAATATGATATGAACATTAATAAATTAGTAGCAGAGGCTACAGGAGTGTCTGCCCGTACCGTAATGCGAATTGTAGCTGAAGGAAATTCGAGTCTACAAACATCGGAAATTGCAAAATTTTCATCTCCGCGGAAACCTAAAGAAATAAAAAAGAGAATCCACATTGATGATTTTGACATGGGAGTTATACGAAGAAAAATTCATCAATTTTATACTATTGATAAGAAAATCCCAAGTATTCGTAAGCTGCTTGCAGCTTTAAAAGAAGATGGCATTGTGAACTGCGGTTGTACCTATTTACGACAGCTTTTACATAAGATGGGATATTTATTTAAAAAATGTAAATCTAAGAGACACATTTTAATTGAGAGGCCCAGTATTGCTGAATGGAGAGTAAGGTATTTAACCCGGCGAGCATGAGCCAGGGTATCACACACCCTGATAAAATTTCAAAGTAATGTATTTTTTAAGATCCTCGCCCGGCAACTCTAACTCGCTCAGTAGCTGGAGTGCGGGGCACGCGGGGTGGGTTAGTGGCGTGATCGCAGTGTGGCGTGGGACACCGGCCGGTATATTCGTGCGCAAACCTGTCTCGGGTATGTTATACCCTGCCTCATTTCTGACGTATTTTTTTTACGTAATGATTTGATCATGAATTATAACTGTTTTATTAGTCTTTTTTTCTATTATTTTAAGTTATTTTTGTTATGATTTTAGTATATACATTTGTTGTTCATTCATTTATTTGAGATTTTCTTTATTATTTTTAGTTTTTGACTGAAATGGATTTTGAAAGGCAAGAGGAACGGATTCGTACCATGTTGGAGGAGGCAACAACTGATTCATCAGGTGAATCCAGTTCAGAACAAGAGACTGATCATTGTAGTGAGCACGAATTGAATTCTGAGACGGAACAAGAAGGTGACGATTCAGTTGATGTTTCATCCAACTCCAGGCAGGAAGAAGTTGCAGTAAATGAATCGTGTAACGACCCAGAGGACGATTTACCATTGTCACTACTCAGGCAGAGAGACTCAGCTTCAAGGCAAGTAAATGGCCCTTTCTATACGTCTAAAGATGGTACCAAGTGGTATAAAAATTGTCAACGTCCAAACGTGAGGCTTCGTTCTGAAAACATCGTAACTGAACATGCTCGAGTAAAGAATACTGCAAGGGATGCTGGTACAGAGTATGAATGCTGGAATATTTTTGTGACTACAAACATGCTTCAAGAAATCTTGATTCACACTAATTCGAAAATTCGGCAAAGACAGCGTGATAATGCGAATGCTGCAGATAATGCGAATTGCAAAGCTCCTTCTTACATGCAAGAAACCACTATTTGTGAGTTGAAAGCATTTATTGGCTTACTGTACTTAGCTGGCGTCACCAAATCTAATCGACAATGTTTGAAAGATCTTTGGCGAACTGATGGAACTGGTGTTGATATATTTCGTACCACCATGCCACTGCAGAGATTCCAGTTTCTTCAAAATGCTGTACGTTTTGACGACAAATCGACGAGAGAGGAGCGTAAACAAACTGATAATATGGCAGCCTTTAGAAGCATTTTTGACCAGTTTGTTCAATGCTGCCAGAATGCGTACTCTCCAAGTGATTTTCTGACTATTGACGAGATGTTACTGGCATTTAGAGGTCGATGCTTGTTCCGCGTCTACATTCCAAACAAGCCAGCTAAATACGGGCTAAAAATTTTAGCTCTGGTCGATGCAAAAAACTTCTATGTTTTGAATTTGGAAGTGTACTCAGGCAAACAACCGCCGGGACCATATGCAGTCAGTAATAAACCGTTTGAAGTAGTGGAGAGACTCATTCAACCAGTTTCACGATCACACCGCAACTTAACATTTGATAACTGGTTCACTGGATATGAGCTAATGCTGCATCTACTAAACGAGCATCGACTTACGTCGGTTGGAACTGTACGGAAGAATAAGAGACAGATTCCTGAATCTTTTATTAGAACTGACAGACAACCAAACAGTTCACTGTTTGGGTTTCAAAAAGATATTACACTTGTTTCCTATGCGCCAAAGAAGAACAAGGTGGTTATTGTTATGTCCACTATGCACCATGACAATTCAATAGATGTATCTACAGGCGAGAAACAAAAGCCTGAAATGATAACATTTTATAACTCGACCAAAGCTGGCGTTGACGTGGTTGATGAATTAAGTTCCAGTTATAATGTTAGTCGCAACAGTAAACGGTGGCCTATGACTTTATTCTATGGTGTATTGAACATGGCAGCTATCAATGCTTGCATTATATACCGAGCAAACAAAAACGTCACAATCAAGAGAACGGAATTCATTCGTAATTTGGGCTTATCAATGATTTACGAACACCTACATTCAAGAAAATCAAAAAAGCATATTCCAAACTACATCCGCCAGCGAATCTTAAAACAGCTCGGTGAGCCCTCACCTAGACATGTGAATATACCCGGACGATATGTCAGATGTCAGGATTGTCCATACAAGAAGGATAGAAAAACCAAATATTCCTGCAATGCTTGTGCCAAGCCCATATGTATGGAGCACGCAAAATTTATTTGCGAAAATTGTGCTGATCTCGACAATAGTGGTTAATCATATTTTTAATTAAAAAAAATTAATAATAAGTTTTTCACAAGGAGGATCTCACTATGTTTTAATTTTAAGTTGTTTTACACTCCAAAGAATAATATTTTTATTAAATTCTAAATTTTTGTAAGTCCTTAAACTTTTGTTTCTATAATTACAAAGTTTATGAAAAACATTAATAAATAATAATAATTTCATAATTAAAAACTTGTTTCATTAAATTCTATTAAATCATTCATTGTTTTACATAATAAAATCATTAAAAGTAAAAATAATAATAATAAGAACTTAAATATGGTACATTAAATTATGGGTATGTCCCACCCTGCCACATTCTTGATGTAACTTTTTTTAACCTCATGCTCGCCGGGTTAAGAGCTATACGGAAACATAGAAATGAAAACCGAAACATATATTATCTGGACGAAACCTACGTTAATAGTAGCCACACCTCCAATATGTGTTGGCAATCCGAATCTGAGCCTGGAATTTATGCTGATATTGGCAAAGGGCGTCGTTTGGTGATTGTTCATGGTGGTAGCCGAGACGGATTAGTTAACGGTGCCTTAACAATTTTCAAATCTGATTCGAAATGTGGGGATTACCATGGCGATATGAATGCCACAAATTTTCATAACTGGGTTAGTCACAAATTGAAAAATAAACTAGCTCCTAATTCAGTGGTCGTAATGGACAATGCCTCCTACCATTGTGTACAGGTAAAGAAAAAACCTACTATGTCAAGTTTAAAAAGGGACATGCAAGATTGGTTACGCGAACGTAATGTTGAATTTACACCAGATAATACAAAAGCCGAACTCTTTCATTTGATAAATAGAACTCAGTCCGAAAAAATTTACGTCATTGACGAAATATTAAAGGCTTCAGGTCATATCGTTCTTCGCCTTCCGCCATATCATCCTGATCTCAACCCCATTGAGCTTGTGTGGGCCGATATAAAGAACAATTTAGCTACAAATTATATAAATACTTCATTGGACGACAAAATTCCAATCATCACAAAATTGTTTTCTGAATTCACTCCAGGAAGATGGCAAAAGTGTGACGACCACGTACAGAAAATCGAGAACCTATATTGGGACCACGATATGAGGTTTGACAATGTAATAGACGAGTTGATCATAAACCTGGGAAACGATTCAGATTCTGAGGAGGATATGGAAATTGAAGACATGTATAGTAATGAAGAAGAAGAAGATATGGATTAATTTTGTGCTATAACGGATTGTTTTTTTTTTATAGGATAAGGGTGACAAACGAGCACACAGTGCACCTGATGGTAAGTGCTTGCTGCGGCCCATAGACATCTACATCTATCCTCTATTACAAATCAAAATGTAGATGCGTTGTCACCCGTGATGACTAAGATGGATTGAGGTTTTAATAACCTCCTTATTTGTGATACAAACCCACAGGTCGAACATAGAATTCTCGCAGTATGGTAATTTAGGTTTAATTTGGGTGGTGAGTTTATAAAACTGTTTTGTATCATAAATAATAAAATGTAATTAACGCTTTTAAATACGTGTTAATTTTTGTTTAGCCCGGAAAATATAAATAATTTACCCATTATATTAATTAAGACAGTTTCTAACATGGTTATCCGGAGATTTATCTGTCCTCAAATATCTCGTGTGCGTCTTGTCAATCGCGTCCTCCCCCGTCTCGCCGCTTGCATACCTAAGGCGATGACTAGCACTTCCGCGCAGACTAGCATTAGCTATTGATTCAATAAAGTTATCTATAGGATAAACGTCTGTTAACTGTCACTGCGTTTCTGAATACGCAACGAATCGTTCAACAACTATGAAACCATTAACAAGTACCATAATTTGCCGCTATATGGGTCTGTTTAAGACACCGAGAGATTTTTTAATTTCAATTCTTCATTTATACTAGTATTATTTATAAAATATATTTTTTTGAGGCTAAATAAGAGGATATGCACTGTTTTAGTAATAAAATATGATAATTCCATATTTATCAGAAACTGTATGAATGACATAATTGTATTGTCAAATTGTTAAAAAAGAAAACATCAAATTCATTGCTTTTATTCTATGGAGTGTAGAGAGAAGGAGGACCATCTCTATATATGAAAAGTGTCCCTAAAAACGTGTCCAGTAAGGGTGGCGCTGCAGTAGCATAGGATAAATTTAAAAAAAGCGCCAAAAGTAATTAGAGTAAGATGGAGAAATAAACAAGGACCGACCAATCCGCTTGGTTTTGTACTACGTAAATAGTTGAGATTTTGTATACTGGCATTTTACTAACTACTCTAGTCATGAAATTTTTTAATATTTGAATTCAGCTGACTTCACTCCGTTCACAACAGCTACTTCATATCGTAGTTTTTCAGACGCCAGCGCTATTATGGTAGGTTTTGGAAATGCTATTTTCAGTAAATAGTAGAATACTTTTTCAACTTTCGCCCCTTATAAGATGGTCCTCCTTGTTTACTCTACACTCCATATTTTATTCGAAAGTGGTTTTATTTTTCATAACTTTCTGATTTTAAGTTTAGTGGTATTTACTATCGTTTTTTGGATTATCCATAACATTATGGAATCTGAAAAAGGTAGTAAATTTTTTTCTGAAAGAGAGAAGAGTACTCGTATTCATTGCACTTCTATTAATAATTATTTTATCCCTTGAATATTTTAGTATTTAGCGCCCACTGGCAATTTAAGCCGGATTTACATTTGTCTGACTTGTTGTGTTGTGACGCATCAGAATGGTATCGGTTTCATACATTTAGTATGGTGAGATTTATATTTGTGTGTCGCGATCTGTTGTGAGGGCGACGCATCAGACGAGATTCCGATCGCATCAGAGGGGTGGAGGTGGGTGTACGGGGGAGCGGCCGCCTGGCGACGCAGCAGACAAGTGTGCACGCGACAGTATTGCGTTGTGAGGCGTCAGAGCCACGTGCGTTTTTTGTTTATCCACTCGATTTAAAGTTTTAGAAAAGAATTTAAAGTATGGACGACTTGATAGAAATAGTACGACAATATAAAGTGATTTATGACACCAAATGTAAAGAATATAGGGACCAATCCATTAGAGCATCTGTTTGGGAGGAGATAGGAGAAAAAATTAAACAACCCCGTAAGTACTATACTGCTTTATTTAATTAAACCGTGTTCTACCTTGTGTAATAGCTTGCATTTGCCATGGAACTTGTCCCTGGGGACTTACAAAATATGTTTTATATGCTTCACGAACTTGAATAGTTTCTTGAGATAGATTTCTATTTAACGGTTCGATGTCTACTAAGCCATTACTGTCGCTCACCTCGCTTTCATCCATCAAAGTTTCTTGTGTTTCCTGTGTGTCTTGGGTCAAAAAGTTATGAAGGCAGCAGGCAGCAAGTACGATCTTGTCCGCCATGTTTGGTTGTACTTGTAAAGGTCCCTGAAACACTCTAAATCTAGCTCGTAATATTCCAAATGCATTTTCTACAGTACGGCGAGCACGTGATAAGCGATAATTAAATATTTTATTTGGGTTATTGTTAACTAATTTAGCTTTACTATACGGTTTTAATAAATACGTTTTCAGTGGGAATGCCGCGTCTGCCACAATAGTGTAGGGTAAAGGTTCTGTATTTTGGTTTATAGGTTTATTCGGTGGCACATTTAATTGACTGCTTTCAAACATTTTTCCCATTAACGAGTCCTGGTAAATGCCAGCATCACTATTTCGGCCATACGCTCCTACATCTACCATAATAAATCTATAATGCGCATCAACAAGTGCAAGCAGTACAATAGAATGCTCATTTTTATAATTATAAAAAGTGGATCCTGCATTTATTGGACATATTATAGAAATATGTTTTCCATCCAATGCTCCAATACAATTCGGAAAATGCCATACATTTTCGAATCCTTTCGCAATCTCTCTCCACATTTGTTCTGTAGGCTGGGGCATTACAGTAGGGGCCAAATTCTTCCAAATTGCGTTACATACTTGTTCTACTATGATCTTTACTGTAGCAAACCCCATACAGTAATTGAACCCCAATGATCGAAAAGAATTTCCAGTTGCCATAAATCTGTAATATAAAAACACAGATAATTTATTTTTGTTTCAGCGGAAAAATGTAAAGATGACTGGAATAAATTACGAAATAGCTACGTCAACGCATTGAAACGCCGTAAAAATAAAAAAAGTGGGCAAGCCGCTCAATTTATCCCGCCATGGAAATATGAAGAACAAATAAGTTTTTTACAGCCATTTATGGAATCAAGGTCGACAACAACAAATCTTTCATCACCTCCTGAATCTCCAGAATTTCACTCAGAAAGTACTCAACCAGACAATTCTCGTCCAGCAACACCACATACTGGTAGTTCCTCGCACTCCCAACAGCCTGTTAGAAAACCAAACTTACAGGATCTATATGATATGATGAAGTCTTCGCATGATTTGAGAATCCATAAGCATCATTCAAAGCAGCAGCAGGATAATATAATGGATGAAACAGACTTGTTTTTTCTGAGCATGAGCAAAGCAGTTAAAAAACTTCCGAAACTAGATCAGACCAAAATAAAATTGGATTTGCACACTGCTGTATCACAAGCTGAAATAAGGAAACTTCAGACACAAGCACAAATTCTTAGAACACCAATTAATGTGACTCACCAGATAGTTACTCGGCCACAACAACCGCTGCCACTCCAGCTACCCATTCCACCATCCACATCCATGACGACATTTCCAGCAGTCCCAGCTACACCAACTCTCGACAACATCAACTCTCAACAATCGGCCTCAACACTTTATAATTTTGAAGAAGATAACATCTCATCATATTATAGCAATGCAGACTTTTCTGATGATAACTAATTACCTGTCTTTACTAATAATGTTAAAAAAAAAAACAAATAAATCCTTACCTTAAACACACAGCAAGTCTTTCTTTTGTCCCTATAGGTTTACGAAACTTCGTATGTATTTTTTTTATGTCCCCTTCAATCAATGAATGAACTTCCTCGAACTGTGCCTTGGACATTCTAAAATACTGATGAAATCTTTGAGCATCGTTCTCAATCTCTTTAACGAGACAGTGAAACTCGCCTTTAGACTCTCTTTTATTATTCACTGGATGAACCCAATATCTTCTTCTCTTTATTTCTTTCTTTTTTATAAGAGTTGCCAGCACCAAAAATTCAATATCTTCTTCATACTCTGAATCAGAGTCGGATGATTCATGGGAAAACATTGTAAACGTATGAACTCTCCGAGAGCTATGACTGTATTGATTCAAAATATCGTCAGAGGTCGTCAGAACACAACATAAAGATGTGAACACTAGCCATCACGTCAGAGCCCGTCACGACACAACACGTCAGGCAAATATAAATCCGCCTTTATTTTAATAATAACGCGTTATAACCTAAAAGTTGATGTAGTTTGCTTGAAATTAAACGTCAAATAAAGTTATAGAACCGATAAACGGCACATATTGGCCAGTTAAATTAAATTTAGCTTAAACGGAGTTTATCTTACATTGCGATGTTCGGAAACGCACTTTCACAAGTTATCGAACCAATAGCGCTAACGAATAGATAAACTGCCGATAAAAGTACCTCAGAAACCGAGCATTAGGTTTTTTTCGCCTAGCCCCCATCCGCCAAATTCGTACCGTCCGATAAAGAACTTCGTTCCAAAAGTAGACGGTATATTAAATTGATGAGTTGGTGATACATTGTATTTATTAGTTAGAAATTCCATTTCCGGTCATAGAAACAAATATTAAAGGGCCTTAATGTATTGCATATATCCTAAACTCTTTGAGGTAGAGCCATACTCAAGATGTATTATGGTTGTGGAACAAATAGGTTGGCTCGACCGTGCGGAATACCAGCGTGTGCTGAAGCTGTTTCTTATGGTGTAGAAAACCTTTTCACTGGAAACGAGACATTTCGGCATTTTGATTCGTAATATAGAATAGTACACTGTATGCTCATTTGTCACCGATCTTCTATAAACATTTTGGAATCTACTTTTACCTTTGAACTTCTCTACATCGCTTGTACACTTAGATCTTCTAAACTACCCAACGGATTTTGATCAATAGACAGAATGATTCAATAGGAAGGTTTATATGTATATAATGCATGCATAATATATATCATATAATGTGTGCACAAGATAACTCTGCTCGCGGCCAAAATTGGAACTAATCGTGTACCGCCATCTTACTGTTTACAGATATCAAAACAGAGTGTTAGGTGTCGTGTTTTTATTAGTTTTTGCAGTAAGTAATCGTTATCATTAGACCCAATGTGATTAAAAGTGCTGGCAGGGATATTATCTTGAAGGTCAAACGTGCTTGTGAAGAAGAACGAGACAATAAAGGGCCTAGAGTACTGTTTACCAAAGTTAGAGCCCACGTTGGATATTTGACAGGTAAGGAATCGGAGGAAAAATAATGATGATTTAGACGATTTCGATATGTGCGTTATAAGGCATTTAATTCAATCGTTTTACGTCGTGAAGAAAGAGATTCCTACCATAAATAAACTTTGTTTGGAATTTAAAGCTGATATTGATTTTAAATATGGCAGAACATTTTTGAGGAGTATTTTAAGGACTATGGGCTACAAAAGGTGCCAGTCTAAACGAAAAGTATTGATAGAATACAGTGATATTGTAGCTTGGAGAGCAAAATATATCGCATAATATGCGCAACCTTCCTGACACAAGAATCGTCAGGAAGAAAATCGATCGGTCATTTATGTTGACGAAACGTATATACATGCTTCATACTATCTGCAAAAATGTTGGCAATCGGAGGAACAGCCTGGTATTCTTGCTCTGATAGCGTCGGTGCAAGATTGATAATAGCTCATGGTGGAGGTAAAACTGGGTTTGTTGAGAACGGACTGCAACTGTTCAGGTCTAAATCCAAATCGAATGACTATCATGACCATATGAATTCCACTTACTTCATGCGGTGGATGAAAGAAAAGATTGTGCCGAATCTAACAACGAATTGCATTGTAGTGATGGATAATGCGTCATACCACTGCACACAGATTAACAAGGCGCCTACAATTGGCAATACAAAAGCAGAGCTCCAAGAGTTGCTTACGAAAAATGGTATTGAATATGACGATTGTAGGACACATATGCAATTATACGAATTAATCAAAAAACACAAAGGAGACCCACAGTATGGAATAGAACAAATGTTAAATGAACATGGACATGAGGTTCTCCGTTTGCCGCCCTACCACTGCGATTTGAAACCCCATCGAAAAAATTTGGACAATAATAAAGAGGCGCATTGCAGAGAAAAATATCACTCAAACTCCTAGCGAAATAGCTGCTATTACCGAGGCGGCGCGGCGTTTAGAATAGTAACGATAGAAGAATAGCTCAATGTATGTCTAAATGTAGAGAAAATAGAAGATAAATATTTCGAATGAGGTAGGCTGATGGATATGGAAATGGATAAATTTGTAATTAATATTACACACGACACGTCCTAGTGTAAAAAAATCCTCTGTCCTGGGAAGAACCAGCAAGAAACCCAGCGGGACTTTTTTTTTAAATAAATTTTACAATATAAATTATTACGAACTATTTAGACAATTTGTTTTTTAGAAACAGCTTGGAAGTGACCACCTCATTCCCAGGGGTTATTATCAACCACGTATTCATTTATACTATAATAACCCTTTTTATGCAGCTTTTGTTTAATTAAATATTTAAACTTGGTAATAGAGAGACCTTGTATATTTTCTGGGACTTAGTTGTAATAGCGTATACATTGTCCCAAGAATGAATTACTGACTATGTGAAGTCGAGAGACCGGTATCGCCGGGATAGTTAAGAGTTTTGTTGGTCATCGAACGTGATAAGCTTAAGTATGAAAAACGCTCTTTCAGATAAGCTGGGGAACAAGGAAAAGGAATACCATACAAAGTGGTTAGAAGGTGTGTGTTCCAGCGAAAATGGATGTAGAGCCACTTAAGTAACAAGTTATTAGAACCTCTAGTCTATGGTTCACATATCGTACGTGACAGCTCCTTCCCCCCCCCCCTCGCCGCCTTCACCCCTCTGTCGAATTTCTGTCACTGTCGTTATTTTATTACAGTTTCAAAGTTGATCGAGTGTAGTTTAGCGTTGATTTATTTCTGTAACTAATCCTCTCAATTCCTGAAGCTGTAATATTATCTTGCAACATGTATAACAAGTATTGTGTTCCAACGTGTGCTAGTAGACGAAAGGACGTTAGTTTTTATGTTGCCAAAAAGTGAGATAGGACTGCAAAAACTATGAAAGACTGCGAAGTTTGAGTTTCCAGAAACTTCGTAAACATTTTGTTTGTCGAAAACATTTTGAGAAGAGGTTTCTCGGAATCACGTGCGAAAGAGTTTGTGTTGGCCTCAACGCCTACCCAACGTTGTTTACTGTTAGAGAGATGCCCAGTGGTATTCCGCAAACGGTTGCAAGAATCGCCGTTGAAACTGGTAAGTACAATGGTATTGTGATCAACTGCTACATTAAAGTGATGTTGCATCACCCATATGGTAATACTCTAAGTTCTTAGGTACTTAATGCCTCAAACTTATAATACAGATTAATTTTCATGTGAGCTTGTGATGCATTATGTCTGTTCTTAGTGTATTATGTCAGGATATATGTATAGAGCATTTGCTATTAATCTAGAAATTATTAGTGTTTCAATTTTCATCTTAAGATATATTTAATATGTAATTTTGACCTTCTAAATGTCTTTTTTTGCCCTGATGGTAGTTGGATCTATAGACATCTACATTTATCCTCAATGAATCAAAATGTCGATGTGTTGTCACCCATGAGGACTGAGGTCTCCAGTTCTCTACACTCACCATACAAACATAGCAGCATTGAGCTGCTATTTTTACACTGGTATTCTGTAAGAGCCAAAAAGAATGCCAAAAAGAATCTAAAAACTGTTTGAAAACAACATTAGCTAAATTAGCAGTTATCATTGCCAGTATAACGCAATAGATTTGATTTGAGCGCAAGTTAAAGGTATTTAATATTTAAATAACTTCATTTAAATATTAAATACCTTTTAACTTGCGCTCAAATCAAATCTATTTTTAAATTAATTATTGCATCAGTAATTTAAAAAAAATACTGGTTGTTTTCATTTTAGGTCATGCAGCAAGACACAACACGGCAAATAAAATATTAAATTTGCTGAACAATGCAACTTCTGTTTGACGACTTATTAATTAGCGATCTGCATGGCTTCGGGGACCCACACTAAGTGCCAATAATGTTTCCCTGAAAATATAGGCAAAACGGATTTGCCAAATGGTTTTATTTTATGGCTTTTGTGGCTAAATATATTTAGTAATTCAAAATGTTGCTGTACATGCTCGCAGTTTACTATATGACGTTGACAGCAACGTGGATGAAGCGTGGTAACTAAGTTAGTTGGTGGCAAAAGAATAAATTTTTATTTGGAAAATTATTATCAAAATAAGATGTCATTCCGCTGCTGTATGCAGCTTTTGATGAGATGAAAACAATTTCACGGCTACATAAATCTATTAATAAAGGACACAATCCTCAAGGCAAAATAAAACGCCTAGAAAAACCAAAGAATAAAAATGCGAAAAATAAGCTAAACAGGGAACCAAAAAAAACTAGCCTTGTTTTTGGTTTCGTGTTTCCTTGGAAAAACCAAAACCGGACCACAATTTAGTCGCATATTGCACAAAGGGCATAAGTCAAACACAATATAAAAACAAACTTTGTTATACGAAACCTTCCCTACACATAGCCGAACTATGCAAAAACAGCATTAGTTCGTACACTCCAGTACCATTTATCAGTTGGTGCAGAAAGGGCACAGTTTTAGTTAATGCCCCGATTTTCATAAAACGGAACGAATTTTTTCTTATGTATACGTGAACTGTTGTCAATTCGTTTTTGATGTTTGATGTTTGTTTCCCGGTATTTTCGTGGTTTTGTGCATTTGTTAAAATAATGAATATTTCCGAAAATGTAGAAGTTAGAGACAAAAAGAGGATAAGACATCCTGAAAAGTATAAGCGAAATATAATAAAAACGGCAAAAGTTTCAGGCAAGCTATTTGTCCACCGTCGACGGCCTAAAAAGTTTTTTTTTCCAAAAATCAAAGACATTAAAAAACTTTCTAAAGAGAACGATCATGTCTTTGGTTTGACATTTGATTTTATACAAAATAAGCCACTTCCATTCATACCAGTACAACAAGTATTTTACTTGCGCCAGCTATGGGTAAATATTTTTGGAATCCATAATTTGAAAACTAATGATGCAATGTTTTATACATATACCTGATACAGTGACAGAGCCCCACTTATTTGCAGATGGGTGTGGTGGACAAAATTATCATCCCATTGTTTTAAGGTTTTTAATGGCTTTAGTCCAACTTGGGCGGTTTAAGAAAATTGTACAATACATTCCTCGACGAGGTCCTTCATTTCTGCCAAATGACCGTGATTTTGGTAAAGCAAAACTTGCTTTAAAAAAACATGGTCGCATATACAGCCCAGAAGAATGTGCGAGTCAATACTAATTGTGGCAGGAGCATCAGAAAAATATATATATACTTTTTTTCTTGACCATAATTATAATGGTCAAGAAAAAAGGTAAAAGTTAAAAAAAAATTATGGGAAAATTAAAGAAAACTTCTGAGAAAAGTTGAATCGAACGGACAACCGTTTTACAAAGCGTCTGCAGCGAGTAGTTAGAGTTGCGTAGGTCGTTATTAACCGCTTTGAACTTTAAAAAAGTTGCCACGCGGCGAACGAAATGACACAACTTGTCATAATTTTGTAAGAGACTTGCTATACAAAAGTAAAATTAACCATGAGTAGTCAATAAAACATGGCAAGGATAATGAAACCATTGCTATCAAGAAATTAGAAAGGAAAGAAAAAATTTAAATAGAACCTTGTGGTCTATTTATAGACGAAGAATTGCCATTTTTGGAAGCCACTCCGGACGACTTATGTAGCTACGATACTATCGTAGATATTAAATGCCCAATAAAGTCATTAACATTGGGTTTAGACAAAGCCATAAAAAAAAGTGACCTTTGGGAAAAAAATGGGTTGGAATTTAATAAAAACCGCCAATGGTACTACCAAGTGCAGGGAGAGTCACACGTGACTAACTGCCCCACTCAGACACGTTTAACGGTTACTTAAGGCGCTCCTTAGTATAGATTTAAAAAAGTTCACTCTCAGAGTCATTTTACGGTTCATTAGCGTTTCTTAATGACAATTAAAGTTAAGAGCAGCAAAACCTTTACTTAATTTTCTAATGATTGATTTGACATTTACGCTTGAGGTTATATTGATATTTTCACTATTGATATCGCGTTAGTTATTTTTTAATATAAAGTAAAATATTTGATCTGGTAGTTTATTGAGTTGGACTATGCTATAGGGAAGTTGGACCGAGGCGGTACTTAAGAGATTATTCTGATCCCTTTACAAAATACTCTGTTCAAGAATTTCATGCACGATATAGATTTACACCAGAAACAGTAAAAATTGTACTGTTGCCTATGCTGACCAACCTATGGACACGAACAAAAAGAGGATTACCATTTTCCCCCATATATCAAAATTAGCAAGCATTTTGATATATTTTGATAATTTATATACATTTGTGGCAAAGAATCATCAGTTACTTCGATAAAAAATTGGATTGTAACTATAAAAGTTTTCAAAGGTTTGTGGCAATTCATGAAGGAAACTGAAATTTCCCCCTCCAATAACAAAAAAACGCTTGCACTCGTAAATTCACACTGAAATATAAAAATAAAAGACTTAATAAATATTACTGCTTTTTATTTCTTTATAACTAAATGAAAATTATCAATTGTTTAAATTTATGTACATGTTCATATTGTGTTCACAATGTGAACATGTACATAAATTTAAACATAACATTCAAAATTCTAGAGGTGTCCTATTTCTACTACGGGCTTTTAGGCTGAAGAAACTTTTAATTTTTGAGGCTCGCTATTAGCCAATTTTTTAGTACAGAAAACGGTCGTCTGTTCTTATTAGTTTGTGAAGCAGGCTAAATAATAATAATAATACTGAATAAAAAAGTTACTGTTTCTGTTTCCCCAGAAATAATATTACTGCTAACATTACGATACTTACATTACGAAACTGAAGACTATTTATTAGAAGATGACGTACAAAGTGATACTGAAGACTATGATATGAGTGCTCAACCAGTGGTGAACCCATTGAATGCTGAAGATGTGTCAGAAAATGACTCAGAACCTTCTGAAAGTGCTTGGCCAAGTGTGCCGAGTTATATTATCATGCCACAGCGTCAAATTCTTAGAGGCAATATTATACGGACATCTAGGGGTCCCACTCGGATTAATAAATGCCTTTATGAGCCTTTAGAATGTTTCAGTATATTTATTACTGATGGCATTGTGGAGGATATAACAAAATGGACCAACCCTGAAATCCAGTTGAAGATTCAAAGGCCTGATGTCAAAGCCACCTTTAAAACTACAATTTGTGAAGAAATTCGGACTCTAATAAATATGGACTAAAAATTGTAATGACGTGTGACAGTGCCACACTATACATGATTGATGCTATGCCATATCTAGGAAAATGCACTCAAACCAATGGTTTGCCTCTCGGTGAATTTTATGTAAAAGAACTTACAAAAGCAGTTCATGGCAGTAATAGAAATGTCACATGTGATAATTGGTTCACATCAGTTCCATTAGCAAAAAACTTGCTAAGGCAGCCATACAACTTGACCTTGGTCGGCACTATTAGGTCAAACAAACGGGAAATACCTGAAGAGCTGAAAAGAATGCATTTCAGGCGAGTAAGAACATCCATGTTCTGTTATGATGGGCCGTTGACGTTAGTGTCGTACAAACCAAAACCGAGCAAGTTGGTGTTTGTTCTATCATCGTGTGATGAAGAGGGCACCGTTCATACTACCACCGGCAAACCAAATATGATTCATTTTTATAATGTTAGTGTCGTACAAACCAAAACCGAGCAAGTTGGTGTTTGTTCTATCATCGTGTGATGAAGAGGGCACTGTTCATCCTACCACCGGCAAACCAAATATGATTCATTTTTATAATGAAACAAAAAGGGGAGTCAACACTTTTGACCAAATGTGCTCGTCAATATCGTGCAGCCGCAAAACAAACAGATGGCCCATGGCTATGTTCTATGGTATGTTGAATATCGTCACCTTAATACGCATACCTCGTAACTCCACATATAGGTGGAAACTACTTTTTCATATCATTGGACGCATTGAAAAAAAAGAAATATTTCGTTTCAAACCTCGTAAATGCAAGTCATTAGACTTAAAACCATAGACAATTTGTGTCAAGCTAACCCCGTAAATGCACCATCACAATTTTTTAAAAGCAAACCTCGTAACTCCGTTTTTTATGTCTTCTAATATGGCGGACTGATGTCGTGAGGTTGCGCACGTGGACCGGTGAATCGTTATACAATTTTGTTTTGTTAAATACTACGTTTAAGCTAAAATGGTAAGTGTTAATTCCATCATGATATTATTGTGCAGTGTTTTTTCAAAGTATTGGAATGATTTATTAATGCATTAATACATTAAATTACGTATGGAGTTACAAGTTTTTCTTTCATTGTTTTTCTGACTTTATTTACCATGTAACTCCTTAGTTGTTTTACTAAATTAATACCTTTCATCATTGAATTTTATTGTGTTTTCGCCTTAAATGAAGTATGCTTTTTAACCGACTTCAAAAAGAAGGAGGTTCTCAATTCGGGTGTGTTTTTTACAGAGTAAAAGAAGCTTGAAATTGATTGAACTATCATTGCAAGGCGTATCACCTAACCAGTTAGGTGTGATACACAAACTCGAGAACTCCGAACGGCCGCTTCGAAAAATCGTTATTCTTGAAAACAGAATTATAAAAAAAGCCGAGAAGAAAGTTGATATAATTCCAACTGATTTATCAGATATTATAGGAGCGAGCACGAGCCATGAACCTTTCAATATAATGACGATACAATATAATGTTAATTTTGAGTATATTTCTGATAATACCCTGGAACTGAAAAACAACGAAGAAAAAGAAGACGTAATTGACACAAATGTGTAAAATGAATCAAACATGCCTTCAACGAGCAACACAGTGACTTCGATTGCAATATGATCTCCAGACTATCTTATTAGCGATGACAGTATGGACAGAAAAATTGTGCCGTATTCCGACAGCTCCGACAGTTCAACACCAGAGAAGAGAGTAAAACGAAAAAAAAAGGTAAATATGAAAACTGGTGACTGGACACAAGAGATAAATAAAAGGAAAAGACAATTTGGCTTTCCATACAAAGGTAAGAAAAGAGGAGAAACCATCTGGAAGTATGATGTTGAAAAGAATGGAAGAGTTCTAAAGCCCAGATGCAAATGCAGAGTTAGTGAGAAGACGAGTAAATTGAATTGCAATAAATTAACAGATAGAGACAGAGAAGACATTTTTAACATATTTTGGAAACTAAGTTGGGATCAGAAAAAAGTTTTTGTGAATAACACAATGAGACTTTCAAAAGTTCATAGACCAAGAGACAGAAAAAACCAAGTTACATCAAGGCGTAAATTTTCAAATGAATACTTTCTCCAAGTAAAAGATGAGGTATTAAAAGTCTGTAAACAAATGTATATCAATACTTTAGCAATTGGTGAATGGACTGCTTTAAAAAGTATCGACGACTTTTATAGTAGAAAAAAAGGGCTTAGAACGATTTATAGTCTTTGCCATTGATGGTCTTCGCCACTGCAGAAAATCGACATCGACACTTTATTTGCAGCCTGATTGGCCATCCAAACAGGCTCTTTTCAAATTTTACAAAGTTTGGTGCTCTGAAAATGATGTCAAGCCTTTGTCATCTTGCTAATTTTATAATGCGTTGGAGAAATAAAATGTTTCTTTATTCAAACCAAAGAAAGATGAATGCGAGTTGTGTACTGCTTATAAATCTGGAAACTTACAACAAAGTGATTATGATGAGCATGTTGCAAGAAAAGATGAAGCGCGAGATGAAAAGGTCAAGGATAAAGAGACTGAGAAGCATGTCTTTGCAATGGACCTACAAGCGGTTTTACTTTGCCCCAAGTCTAATGTATCCAGTCTTTACTACAAAATGAAATTAAAGGTGCACAACTTTTGTATGTACAACTTAGAGACCAAAGAGGCTTACTGCTTCCTATGGAATGAATGCTGAGGAGTTTGCATCAGTTGTTGCAAAGCTTTTAAATACAGAAGTTTGCCCCTTTTTACAATATGATGACAGGAAAATAATAATTTACAGTGATGGATGTACTTCACAAAATAGAAATAGTGTGATGGGTAATGCTTTATTGAATGTAGCTATGTTAAACAATGTAGTGATTGAACAAAAATTTTTGGAAAAAGGGCATACTCAAATGGAAGTAGACAGTATTCACGCTTGTATTGAAAGAAAAATGAAGGCTAAAGTAATAAACGCTCCTGCAGAGTATCTTGGTGTATGTAAAGAAGCAAGAGTGAACCCAAAGCCATATAACGTGCATTATTTGACACACGAATACTTTAACTCATACAGTGACTTGGTATTTTTCAAATCTATTCGACCTGGGAGGAAGCCCAGAGATCCAGTAGTAACAGATATTAAAGCACTAAAATATACTCCGAGTGGAGACATATTTTACAAACTAAAATTTTCAGAGCCTTGGTCAACTTTGCCAAAAGGCAAAAACCCTGCTGTAGTCCCAAAAGAATTAAGTGCCTTACCAAAACTCTACAATGAAAGGCTAAAAATAAAAAAAGAAAGTATGATGACTTACAAAGTCTGAAATCTTCTCTTCCAAAAGATTACCATAGTTACTACGGTAATATTCCTTATTAAGACTGATTATTATGAAGACTGATTGTTCGCGCTAAACGCTAATTTCAAGAACGAACGCGAGAGGGCGCGCGGCTCAATGTCATACCGGTTTGACATTCGGTCGTACGTAAAACGCCCTAGGGCAGTCAGTCGTCTTTAAGCAGTGCTAACGATTGGCACGCAGTCATTTGGTCGGGAACTAGGAATAATTAAGCGCGGACAGTAAAAATACGGTCTAGGATTTGTGGCGCGCATCCCTACTGGAGAGCTTCCCCGGGACACATTGTGTCTGACTCAGAATCTGCATAAGTGCATTCGGCAATATTAGCTAGTGCGGCCTCTGATATTCTAGAACTAACTGTTGCAACGCGAAACCGTAGCGACCTTTGATCCAGAAACTCCGTGTGTGTTTTGTGCGGTAACCTTATACCCCGCGATAGTTAGTGGCTTCTGTAAGTTAGTTAATCGCACGATAGAGTTAATTGACTGTCATCGTGACGAACGAGGAAAGTGAATGTGGACAACGCCTCGGAGGGCCCCCTCAAGATGGAGCGGTGTCGACGCTCGGGCTGCTGCTGACGGCCAAGGTCTAGGTTTAATCACCATCAGTCACACCCAGATACACATCACTTTATTTTCCTTGCACTACACAACCACATGCGACCTGACCGACTCCGGAGGGACCAGTCGCCTTGGATATAGGTAATTAAGCTACGTCCAAATTCCTCCCGGTCGACTGGCCGTATTATAGAACGCTCCCCCATATATTTTAGTGTAATTAGAGAGATTCCACGTGGCCATATTCTGGCCCCGTCCCTCTGCTGCTCGTCGATGGGATTACTCATGGGCCCTAATTCCGTCACTCTTTGGTTGGGGCAGTTAGGGGCGTGTACACTGATTTTATTGTTTTTTGTTTTATTAAAACAAATTAGTTAGGTACAAATTATAATAATACTGTCAGTTAAGTTGCTTTAACATTGATACTCAGAGGTTTAATAATGTTGCTATTTGTAATATCTCCCTCTTTTTTTCGTCTCGTTTATTTTATAATGTTTATGGGTTTAAAACTGATTATTTATAGTTTAATTTGCGTTAAAAATGTGGAAAATAAAATTAAAAATATTTGTCATAACAATTTTGTTTGTTACTAGTACCAAATTCTGGTAAAAAAAAAAGACTGGATTTATAACACTATTTTATTGGATTTTCTGACTAACTCAATATTTTGGCACTGTTGTTGTGGTATACATCCCGTTTTCTTATAATCACGTCTTGTAATAACTACAAAATTTCTCTGAACTCACCCTCGTGACTCCTTAGATTTTCTTCCCTTCAAAATGCTAACCTCGCAACTCCATTTTTAATAGAAAAAGTGACATAAATATGGATTTATTTAAATCTTTTCCATTAGTAATTGTATAAAATATCGTTATGCTGCATAATAAAAATTTAAGCATACTCTGCCATCTAATATTATGTTTAAAACTGTTTTTTTGCTCTTCTATAAACTAAGCCAAAATGGAGTTACAAGTTTTGCATATTAAGGTATTTGCATAATATGGCATTTATAAACGCATATATTATTTACTGTGATAATGTCCTATCAAAGAAAGAAAAATCGCTGGGACGTAGAGATTTCATGAAAAAACTCAGCAATAGCTTGATGACCCCGTGGATGGAGACAAGGCAGCAAATGCTTACTTTGCCGACGAATATAAAAGAAAAAATTGGTGCTATATTGCCAAAAAGACCAGCCGAACCTCCCACCCCACGTGAAGGTGTACCTGAGCCAAAGAAAAGAAAATATTGTGCCTTTTGTCCATCAAGAATTAGAAGGATGAAAAAGACAATGTGCGACAGTTGCAAAAATCCCATTTGTGGAGAGCACAAGTCCAGCGCCTGTCCTAAGTGCCTTTGAAGCGAAATTAGATAAAAAGTGATATTTACTTAGGTTTTTCATATTATAAAGTTTACAAAAAGTTGATTTTGAAAAGTTTAATTACTAAATTATAAGACTGATGAAGAGATTCCAAATGTTTATGTTTCGTATTAGTAAGAAGGTCCTTTTTTTGTTGGCATTACCAAACGCGAGAGCGGCTAATAGGAATTTAGTAGCATGGCGTCATTCACCAGAGCACAACGCTCGTTTTGCGTACGCGAATACTATCGTAACGATTCCGCGACTGAAGCGCAACAAAAATACTGTTCGCTGTACAATATACGGAATAGAAATCAAACTACATCGACTCGTGTAATTAAAAATTGGGTACTGAAGTTCGAGAAGACGGGATCCACATTAAATCAACCACGATCCGGGCGACCTAGAACGTCGCGAGAACCCGTAAACATAGAGCGCGTACGAACATCTGTTAGGGATCAACCTGGCCTCTCTACTCAAAAGCGGTCTAGTGTTTTAAATTTGCCCAGAACATCTCTAAATCGTATTCTACACAAGGATTTACATTTACATCTATACAAAATTCAACTGTACAGGAATTAAGGCCTAATGACTACGCTCAGAGACTGCAGCTTGGTAACGAAATGCTTGAGAGGTTTACGAGCTTCAATAACAACTTATTCTCAGACGAGGCACATTTCCACTTAATTGGGCATGTCAACAGACAATATTGCAGATACTGGAGTGGTGCTAACCCGCAATTTAAGCACCAAAAGCTCTTACACTCGCCCAAAGTTACTGTATGGGCTGCTTTATCAGCCAGCTGCATTATTGGTCCAATTTTTATGAAGATACACAGAGCAATACATTGCCATGTTACAGAACTTTTTTTGCTCCAGCTTTACAGGACTACTCAGGTTTTAATCAACGATCATGGTTTTAACAAGATGGAGCGACATGCCACACCTCCAACGACTCCATAGCAGCAGTTTGCGAAATTTTTTGCCAAAAAGTCATATCCTAAAGAGGTGACATTAACTGGCCACCCCGCAGCCCGGATTTGTCACCAATGGACTTTTTCCTTTGGGGCTATCTTAAAAGTAAAGTTTTCAATAACAATCCATCGTCTATTGAAGAATTAAAAGAAAATATACGCGAGGAAATTCATAACATTTCTCCAAACACTTGTCGGGCGGTGATCGAAAATTTCCGCTCTAGGTTACAGGTGTGCCAAAACAACCAAGGATCACATTTGGATGACGTTATTTTCAAAAAATAAAACCCCGATTTCAGTACTTTTTTTTTTATAATAAATAAACAATTTGTCTCTCATCTTTCATCATCATCTTTTGTATTTTTTATGACCATTTGAAATGTTACCGGACTTTTGGTCCATCCTTTATAATAAATAAATATATTCGGTTCCCTGATACTCCAGCTGCTAGACAAGCAGTTAGTCAACGGTAATAAATATATGTCCGGTGGCTATTTTTACATTTCAAAGTGTTGTAACTTAAGAACGCAAACAGCTGGAGGGGCGTGGGGTGCGGGGTTAGATTCGTCAGCGTCGTGAGTTTTTTAGTCGCCATGCCGCGTTGGTCGGGAGAGGAGCGCGCTTTCGTGATCGAGGCATATTTAACAAGCAATTTTTCGCTGATTGTGGCGCAGCGGAAATTCCGTAATCATTTTAATCTTCCACGAATAAGTGATGTTCCTTCAAAAACTTTAATTCGTTATTGGGTAGCAAGATATTTCGTGCTTCAGGCTCAGCTGTAAATATGCGTCGCCAAGGTCCAGTTGCATCTGTATCGACTGCAGAAACCATCCAACGTGTGAGTGATTCAGTTTTGCAAAATCCACGGATGTCACTAAGAGCACGTTCAGCAGCTTTAGGTATAGCTAGATCAACATTGCACGAAATAATCAAAAAAAGCTCAAGTTTCATCCGCATAAAATTCAAATAACCCAAAAACTTAACGAAAATGATTACCAAGCAAAGTTATCTTATGCCGAACGAATGTTAACAACTTTTTGTACGGAAACACGACTGCTGAACGTTTTTTACAGTGACGAAGCCCATTTTCATTTAGGCGGTTAAGTCAACAAACAAAATTACCGTTACTGGAGTTCTGAGAATCAAAAAGAATTGCATCAAGAACCATTGCATACAGATAAGGTAACAGTTTTGTGCGCTATATCAGGGAAAGAAATTCTTGGTCCTTATTTTTTTGAAGACAGTCGTGGTCGGGCAATATCCGTTAATTCAGAAAGATATTGTGAGATGGTCAACCGTTTTTTGAGAGACGAACTACGAAACAGTTCTATTGCTAACAGAAACAGCTGGTTTCAACAAGATGGCGCCACCGCTCATACCGCACACATCTCCATGAATGTTGAAAGGGAATTGTTCCCAGGAAAAATCATCTCTCGGTACGGTGACATGCCCTGGCCAGCACGATCG